GTTGTTTTTTACTGAAGTTTCGCTACTTAACGCTGCTGCTAATAGCTTTATCAGAGTAGTATTTTAAAACCAGAATTTTCAAAATTTCGGCTTATATATAACAATTTTATAGTCGTTCCTCAGCATGGGGTCATTTTTGTGTTGCTGTCAAGTTGCCCAATTGGTTAAAATAACAAAACCACGTGTAGATTGTGGGATTGAAAGAGTGTGTAAACTTGCAAAAGCAACGTGTGTTTATGCAATGAAATTGCTTATCACACATTCGTGTTGATTTTGTCATTTTTTTGGGAAAGAGGTGGGTGTTGTAACCAGGTCAAATTCTGTTTCAGTCCATCATTCCCATTCAGACAATTTGGATTCCACCTGGTATGAAATGCTTCTGATGATATCAGACGTTCTTTGTGATTTCTGAAATTTCTCTCGGGATGTTTTCAATATTGTCAAAATCAATTTTGTTACCCGATTCTATAGCGTTTAGACGAACTATGGCTAATGATTTTCCAAGCCCCTAGTTCAGCTGGATTTCTCGGTGTTCGAATACAAGCGGTGCTACGGTGTTCATTTCTTCTGATTATCTTGACTTTTCTCTGGCGATGTTTGTCCGATGTATATCACATCACATTTCAGGCATTTTATTTTATAGACTCAATTAGACAGAGAATCTTTAGGGATTTAGTCTTTTATATGGACAAGGTTGCTTCACAGTGTGTCTGACGTTCTGAAGGCAACTCTGATGTCAAGCTTATTGCCCCTTTAATGCCTACTGCTTTCTACTAGCCACTCAACCCAGACACCTTTTATAACCCTAAGTTGGATGGACAGTTTTCCTTCCTTATATTATACGAATCTTTTATGACTAATCACCACCATCGTCTCTAATTTCACAATATTTTGTGTATTGAATTCAGACCAGCACATTTCTCAGACAAATACCCTATAATAACTCATTTGTTATTCTACGTAAGAAAAAGTGTATCCGTCGCATACCTGGTCATTATTGTCATGATAACAGATTTTATATTTTAAAGTTGTAGGAACCTGAAGAAAGGAATTCATTGTAAAGAATACTCTGCAAAGTTCAACAATAGCGTCCCAAAGGATGCGAACGCACTAGTGACCTTCAGCTGATCAGTCATAAAAATAAGTGACTTCTGCACACAAAAATTCACATATATTTACAAGAAAATACATGAAAACGCATTAAACAGGTTATCTTTCTCTGACATGACCTAAAAATACGTCCCAGTTATAATGAGGAGTATCAGTTGCTATGTTAGACTAGTTTCTCTATATGTATTCACCGAGATGACTACAGATGAGCTGTTTTTGTGATTCGTTTATCTATCTTATGCTGTTTTGCAGTCTTCCTCAAAAGCTCTTGGTTGACTTACTATGGTTTCCAGTAAGAGGATAGACGACTACTTACCAGGAAAAATTGTGGATAATAAAACAAATTAAAATAAATGACACCAACTCTAAATCTGTCTATAATAGTAACCCTAACATTAATCCTGACCCTAACCCTAAATTGAACACTAACCCTAACCTTAATCCTAACCCTAATTACAACCCTTATCCTGACCTTAATTCTAACCCTAATTCTAATTCTAACCTTAACCCTAATCTTAACCCTGACGAGCTATTAACACATTGTCTAAACAGTACTTATAAACGTTATCTGAGTGAAATTTGCTGCTTATTTGGTGAACAGCGTTGATATTTCAGTTATGATAATAACAGGTGCCGTCAGCCAACGATTAACATGCGTTCTAGGTCACTGGAGCGTTCGCACTCCTGGGACGCTATTGTTTAATTTCCCTGAATATTCTGCTTTCAGATTGACGACTTTTAATTTATGTGATATCAGAATATTTCACACGATTGCACATTAATATTGTTGTTGGTAATAATCATTCCTTAGTGATTATGGATAAGTAACCGTAGAATCTGATGAAGGAATTATCGAATAGAATATTACTTTGTGCACTAATCTCAGTTTTTCAAAATCAATAACGGGCATCCTAAATCATCGATTAGAGAATCATAACCATATACCGACTATTGTTTATGACAACATTGATGTGGTTTTCAAATAAAATCGAATAATTTTGATGTGGTTGTGTTCTCTGAGCTCGATGGTTTGCGTAGCTTTCATTGCCCTACCAGGCAACATCTTCCTTTAGCGCATGCACTTCAATTTGAAGTGAGCATTTAAATGTCTCCCAGTGGCTAACCTTGAACGTGATTGGTTGTTTTTGTGTGTTTTCACGCCCTGTAGGCTACTTGTATTGGTAATGATTGTTTCCTTGACCTCAATTTTGACCCTTTGGTCAATGAAACAATCAGTACGAATACAAGTAGCCTACAGGGTGTGAAAACACGCAAACACAACCAATCACGTTCAAGGTCTGCCACTGGGAGACATCTAAATGCTCGATTCAAATTGAAGTGGATGCGCTAAAGGAAGATGCTGCCTAGTAGGGCAATGAAAACTTCGCAAACAAATAAACCATCCAGCTCAGGGAACACAATTACATCAATATCATCCACCTGAGCTACAAATCGTCTCCATCATATCTAAAATCAAATCAATAAAACGTATAGATTACAGTACAAAACATGTGTATGCAATAATATGGATAAATATAACACTAAACTGAACATCAGATAAATTAAAGGAGGTAACACAGAATTTATGAAGTTACAGGTTCCACATCTAGCCAGGGTGGAAATACTGGCTGGATCTACTTCTTTTGCACACACATAGCTCTGGTTGTATTAGGCGCATTCCAGTGGATTTTAATGCTAAGAGTATTCTGTATCTACAGGCTTTCGTCTTTTTTATTCCTTTATGTTTCCAGTGGAACATAGGGCAGCTTCATCCTACAGCTTTGAAGTTTCAGTAGCAACGGTGTTTATTTTTACGGGATGAGGTTGTTAGCCAGCCTCATGCCCAACCTTCTAGCTTAGCGAAATGTAGAAATGCGTCGGCGGCCACGGATCGAACCCCGAACCACATGCGTAGTTGGCGCGCATTCTACCGCTTTGCCACCTCAGTGATGATACAATACTTGCTCGACGGCCTGGTTGGACCTGGGGTAGGAGATGTATCTCATATCGAACTGTTAATGGTTTTCACTATTCCTTGATTTAGCCACACTGGTAAGTGACTTCGAGTAGGGAAAATTAAGTTCCTAGAACAACAGTCAATACACCTGGCTTCAGGGGAGTAGTTGACGTGCTAGAATGAAGGAGAAGTGGCTAGCACATTGTCACTTACAGATGCTTTTCAGCTGTAATCTATTGATATTGCTGGTTCGATATCATTTAAAACATGAATGTTGTCAATAACATCAATAATTCTTTAACTATTCTGGTTATATAACTGTGTGGCATGTGCTACTGATAAAAGTTATCAGTAGTACAAGCACACAGATTCGTAGGAAGTAGTGAAAATTGAAAACAATATTTCAAGTCAGTGTCTAAAGAAGTAGGAATGTTTATTTTTTAAAATCTGGATCTAATTTAGATTGAAGGTCAGGTTTAACCTTCAGAAAATCAGCAACCAATCAGAATAGTTTGTCACCCACTGATCTAGCCAATCATAAATGTGACTAAAACTGTATAAATATGGTGTGATTTCCCTCAATAAAAAAGGCCCTTTACCAAATCTCTCGCCTTCATCCGTTAAGGCTGTAAAACCTTATGAAGAAGAAGACGTTATCATAGGGGAGGAAACAAAACCACAACTCAAAATCAGAAAAATGAAATCAATCAAATTGTACATAGAAAAAACAAAAAAATAAGCAAAGAATATCCTTCTCGATAATTTCCTCTTCTGGCTCTACAAATATATATGCGTAAATTTATATACACAGAATATTCTAGAATAGTAGTCAAAAGCAATATTGGTGTTTTTCAAAAAATATCGATTTGTAAAGTAAGATCGCAATGGAATTACACTTCACGAAAGATGCATAAATTAACAATAAGCACACAAATATAATAGCAAATAGAACATGAAATAAAATTGAAGAAATTTCGACAACCAATTGAGGATCATTAGAACGGTTATCCAGAAAAATTCATTGATATAAATATAAATCTAAAATCAAGGCAGCCCAGGCTATCAACAGTTCCGAAAAAAGCCTTATTTTTACAAATCAAGTTCTTCGGGGATAACACAACGCCTTAGGAATATGGCGGTAAAAGGAGCATTCAGCACTGCTGAATTATACTGTGTCTTCAACCCCTCCCCTGTTTTGCATTCGACAGTAAAAGATAAACTGCCTAATCTCGCTTATTCTATGTATATCTACCAATTTGACTGCTCCTGTGGAGCCAGTTACATAGTCCGTAAAGTTAGGCATGTTTGTCATTGAATTTTGGAACATCATTCTGAGTGAATAAGTAAAGGACAAACAAAATCCATTCATAGCTCTCTTCTATCTCATCTCGTGAATACAGAACACAAGATTGATGTTAAAGAGGCGGCTTTTAAAGTCATCTACCGCATGCCAACAAATCTTAACTTCGCCTTAAGAGTTCGTCTGCTACATATTGCTGAGGCTGGCTGTTGAGATCCACATTAAGAAGCCTAATTTATGCATCCAAAAGAAGCTAGCTCAGATATTATCCCTAACTTGGCCATCTAGGTTTGAATGATCCTGAATTTTTGTGGAAATTTACGTAATTTTATTTGATATTCTATTTGCTATTATATTTTTATTATTATAATTTAAGCATCTTTAATGAACTGTAATTCCACTGTGATCTTACTTAACAAATCAATATTATTTAAAAAACACTAATATTGTTATTGACTACTAATCTAGAATATTCTACGTATATAAATATATATATGCAATTGTAGAGCCAGAAGAGGAAGTTTTCGAAAGGAACATTCTTCGCTCAATTAATTTTGTTTTTTCTAAATGTTTGAATGAATATTTTTGCTATATTGAAATCGTATATAAACAAATTAATGATAAAAAATCTACCTGCTGGCATCTTCATTTCTTATCTTCGAATGATTATTATTATCATTATTATTATTCTCATTCGACTTTGTGTTTATCAATTGATTCGAATTTTCCAGCAAATAGATTATTTTAGCTAAATTTTCAAATGAATTCATCTGCTCATCATCAATGCGACAATCATCACCACCCCTAGTATCATTAGGCATATTCTCACTAGATGAATTCAATAGACATTCTCTCAACAAATTGTCAATTTGATGTGTATTCGATGTGTATGCTTCGCTTGTTGCCGTTGTTGGTGTCATTGTTGTCGTTGTTGTTGTCGGTTGTACTGCTGGTGTACAGCATACTTGTTGTGATCGAATAAAATCGTAGATTTTCAAATCAGGTGATAAGAAATCACGTGACACTTGACTGTATATCGATTCATTATCTTTAAGTAAAAAAGAAACGATAATTTTAAAAAATCGATATTTAAATATATATATACAAAACAGTACCACTTTCTACAAACCTTTTGAAGAAAGCAAGTTTTTTATGAACGGAGGTTTTTAGCCTTACTCTCAGTCTTCCCTACCTCTCAAGCCTACTACCAAGCAGGCAAGATTTAGGTATGATTTAGCCCTGAGACAAATGTATAGACTTCAACACAATAGATGATTGCATTCCATCTCCCCGGGTTCAGTGGCATAACATCCTAGGGTGTTAGAAATCGAGCTTTTGGTAAGGAAGTCAAGTTAGTCGACGAAGTTGTGAAGCTACATCGATAGAAATGATCAGAAAATGTATTGCGTATGTCAGGCAACCGGTTTCCTCTGCAGGCAACGTTAACTCACATATGATCAGAATTGGAAAAGAGTTAGACGAGGTGGTCAAACCAACACTTAGGATAAGTTCATTAAATTTTTGACAATTGGTTTGAGGTAGCCACATAAAAAGGCGTAGATTGTCTGGTTGCAGTCCTGATGACGCTAAGAATCAATAGCTCGAAAGCGCTCTCACTGGTTCTGATGTATAAACTGTTTGTAATCTCTTATGTCAATGAAACTGTCATCTTATTCCATGTGACTATTCTCTATTCCTCATATTTCTAATTATTATAGTCCCCAAGAGTTTGTTTATAGGGGTAAATCGGATGCTCGCTGGTGACTGACTGACTAAAGGACGAAGTTGACTGGAGTTCTAGTGAGAAGTTGTGACCAATGAAGTCCAACCAATCGAGAGTGAGGATAAATAATCGCCTCTGATAACATTGGCTGGTGCCAGTCGCTCTTCGCTAAAATCACGAACTGGTAGAAGTTAGAATTCATGGACTGGTCATTGAGTCGGGTGTCAGTGGCTCAATGATCCACCAGCTTGTCTTGTAACCGGAAGGTCCCGGTTTTATAAACCCGGTGGTTGTATAATGTTGATGAGTCCCAAGCTAGGACGAAGCAGCTCTCCAGTACTTCAGTATTGGTTTTCAGTAGTTCTCTAAATGGAATCAACCAGCGATCAAAATTATCATATTTTTTTTTGATTCTTCTCTCAATCTTTAACTGCTACATAAGAATGTGGCAAGATTCACTGCTGTTCCTCTGTGCAAAGACCTACGTCAGTTAGTGAGTACTTCGGTGAAACAAACGAACTTCCAAACTATTAAACCGCCAATGCACCATAAATACAGATTTGTTGAATTTGCTTCCTTTGTTCAAATACCACTTTTACTATTAGTCAAAGTAAGCAGAGTCTTCGGAGGTATTCAAGAAGCCGTAGATTTGCTAGTATAAAACTGTTGTTTCTGGAAAACTTCATGAATGTAGAGAATGACAGAAGTATCCGAATACATGATCCGACTTTTGTTCCACATTGATGGTAAACATCCAGCAGAAACACAAGTTTGTCTAATGTCACCGATGATTGTTCTGACTGTGGTGAATAAGATCATTGAAAAGACTGTCAGCGACGGGGAGAAGCGCATACTTTGGACTGACAAGAAGATTCTAGAAGATTAGGACTTCGTAAAAAATATGTGCCCGGTGTCAAACAAACTTGAAGGCCGACAGGGGCTGAAACCAACAAGTTGACAGAAAAGGCAACGAAGATAGGACTTGAGATCATGACGGTACAAGTGCGTAGTCAGATCTCTCACTCGTCTATAGTTAGGCCAATAGCAACATACACCGCATTTCAAAAGTGTTAGCACATTTGAGGATTGGCGATAACAGAAGATACAGGGGGTTATTCAGCTGATAGTGGTTAGCCACGGAATAATCCATGTCATCCACCGAAACGTTATCCACTAAATCTGATTGACTCAAGTGGCCTAGTGGACGATTCCTAATCGCCTGAAATTATAGATGCTGGTTCAGATCCCAGTGGGAACACCATGACTCACTTGGGACCGGAAGTACATGTGGTTGACGTGTCCCAAACAGGATGAAATTTACATCCTGGATTCCAGTGCGAGTCGCCACCCACCAAATGGTTAGGACAGTATTCTTAAAAAATGACACAGTTCAGAATTTGGATATGAAGAAAGTTTAACTATAGACAGCAAGTCAATTCAGTAGATTATATAACTACGGAAAGTATGTTTTTGTATAATAGCAGAAAAGGAGTAAGATGAGTGACTTTCAGATGAAAGAATACAATCTTTTGAACAGAACAAAAGATATAAGAGAATACATGACGTAATGACTTTATATTCAATTACCAAGGAAGAACAAGGCTAACCAATGTGTCTCCCAGCCAATATTTGGACCTGATTTTAACCATTTGATGACGACTGCCTAAACAAAACGTAGCAAGTTAAGTTTCTTTCCTCTGTTGATTATTTTGAACGCCTTCAGACTGGTAATATTATAACCACTGTCCTACAGGTTGTGCACTGTCACACTATTTGATGTTTATGATTCCCGCGGTTTCCTGGTCTTTTGTATCTGTTCAGAAATGCAGACAGTATCTCTTCTGTCTGTGGTTTGACCGGTACATGTAGTCCAAGGTAACATGGGGGGGAATTTTTCTTCCAATTCTGATAGTCTTATATATCTGTCTTTCTGATTCACACGAAAACTGAGTACTATTCATGTCACACTTCATATATATACATATACATATATATATATATACATATATATATATATCGACTTGACAAGTAAGTGTGTGTGAGGGGTCAGATTGTTCGAAATTTAGATGGCGCAAATACATCCCACATTAGTTTTCAGATAATCTCCGTCTTCTAATACAATCCAAATCATATCTCATCTAATTAATACAAAGACTTTCAAACTTTTATCTCACAGCAGTCTGGAATACGTAAAATGTTATACTACTCGATGATAGTTATCAGTAGTTTAAATCCACTTGTAGATTTTTCTGCTGCTTAGAATTTCCAAGATTGATTTCAGATGAACTTCCTGATGAAATGTTCTATTGAATGAGAAGAAGGGAATTGTCTAATCATCGAACACTTCAGCTTCCTATTCATATAATTTAATATGTTCCACTGTAACATTAAGAATACAATATTCAGCCAAGAGACACTTTCCAGCGAATTTATTATCAAGCTGTACAGCCTTATATATTATACATAAATATGATTTTTGAGAAATTACATCAAGCTAGGCGATTGAAACAAAGTTGCGGATAGATAAAATAATAACAGAAGGAAATTCAGTTCGAATAACTATGATCATAATCATAGTTAAATATAAGACAGTAAAAAAAATATTGCCATATACAGAAAAGTTCGTAGAATGTATAGGTATTGGAAAGTGATGTAAGATTACCACGGTTAGCAGGCAAATAGAAGATCTTACATAACATGATTTGAAATTTGATAAGAAAGAATTTACCACCCTACAGTTACTTCTGATTTGAAATGACAAATGTGACCAATGAAATAATACCAGAAACAGTTCAAAGTGAGAAGAACAATAATGGTTGCAACAATAATCGTAGTAATGAGGTAAAGTTACAAAGATTAACTAAATAAGTGAAATGAAGAACAACTAAATGAATGCTCATCTCTCTGCAACCAAGGCAGAAATAGGGATTGTACATGCTAATTTTGAACACATACATCTGGCTTGATTTGATCAGTAGTCAAGGCCTCCACTGTTTTTTAGAAGTTCAAAATGAAGAAATGGACAGGAAGCTAGCATGAATTCGATAGATGATCTTAAAATCATGGTCGGAGCAGGCAGAGGGACAGAAGTTGATGAATTGTTCTAGAATTGTGCTTCGAACACCCCTCCTTTCTCCCTTGTAGAACCATACTGGGATGTGTTCTCGTTTCCGCGTGTGAAGCATTCTCTGGCTATGATCAACATGTGTTGCTTGACAAGAGCAGGTAAACCGATATATTCATATGAGTGTAGCCAGATGAGTCACCTTATATATTTTACAGAGGTGGAGAACCAATTACAGCCGGTAAAGGCCAATTAGAGTTTCGCTGCAACGAATGTATTAATGAATGATTAGAGATGCAATTCTGGAGCATATCTGAAGCCTGATGACCACCTTTGAATGGCAAGTTCATGAGTAAGGTTTTCTGTGAGACTCAGTCAGTGACCAGTTTGGACTGCTTATCTTTCGTCTTTCTGTCAATAAATCGGTTCGGTTAGCCGTTTTCTGCTAGTGTGGTATTTAGGAAGGCAAGTTTTGAGTCAACGCAATCAGAACTACAAATGTTTCCTATCCTGAAACAGAGCGAATGAATTAGGTTCCTTTTCCTGGAGATAGACACACAACTATAAAAATTATTCAGATGTCCATTCCATGTATTTTCTGGTGGATGCGTCTTTTGAGAGTTCCGTCATTGCATCTACTAAGGCATACATTATGAAAGGAATTGTTTAGTTCAGATTCCTTTTCTAAAGTGAATTGCAAAGGACGATGGAAACAAGACATCAGCAAGAATTATATTCTTATCGCAGATAACGAAAGTGTCGTCTACTTATCTTCTATAAATGTCAAAGTGACTAATGGTTTGACTAACATGAGAGTTATCAAGCTTTGCCATAAAACAATCAGCCAGGACTGGACCCAGTGGCAGTCCCATCATAGTGCCATCTATCTGTCTAGAAATCTCATTATTGAAAGTGAACTGAGCATTAAACACGCATCTCAATAAGAGTTCTTTGAGATAAGTTGTTAACAACTCTATGTCTAAACTATATGCATCAATATAATCGTATGTTTTGAAAAAGAGAAAGGAAGGATGTGCGGAGCTCCAATCTAGAACACTCGATCAACTTCTATCAATCTATCAGCTCCGACTATGGTTTTAAAATATCATCTGTTGACTTCAGGCTAACTTCCCGTCCATTCCCTCATTCTAAACTTCTAAAGATGGTGGAGGCCTTGACCATTGATTTATTCAAGCCAGATCTTTGTGTACAAAGGAAGTCTGTACAATCCATATTTCTGCCTTGCTTGTAAAGAGATAAACATGTTTTCAATTGTTCTTCATTTCGCGTATTTATTTAATTTATCTACCTTTCCCTCATTATTACGATTATTGTTGCTATCATTATTGCTGTTGTTATTATTATTCTCACTTTGAACTGTTTCTGGTATTATTTCACTTGTCCCACCTGTGATGCAGTGTTAAATTCTAACTTATCAAATTTCACATCATGTTATGTAAGATTTTTTATACTCCGACTAATCTTATTGATATGTAATAATATTACCAATAACAAAACTTATCATTGTGTGTAAACTATTAAAATATAATTATACTTTATTTAATAATATTCCTTTTAGTTGAATCCAAGTTTTTTGATCAATGTGTATATGTGACATGAGTGTCACACTATAACGTTAGTATTTTGAACAGTCTTAAATGAACGTGTGATACACACTTAATTTGGACTAATCTTAAGAGAAAAATGTATTTTACAAGGTTAAAAGTGACTTAAACCATTGGGTGGTTGAGAGGAAAATGTATACCGAATCTGATTGTACAGACTGTGATGCTTGAGCCTATAAAACCAATCAAGTGAGTTATTTGATGTATTTTTGTCAAATATAAATATTTATGCCAACTGCCTCAGCTATGCTTAGCAACCGAAGACATACCAACCTAAGGGAGTTGACGTGGCACCCTGTATGGAATTGTAAAGGCTAAATTTTTGTCAATCTTATGCCCTGTATCCACTAGGTGTGCTAATATGATTGTCTTTACTTTTTTTTATTTCAGCTTGATTCCACACCGCATTTTTAGTACAAGTATGGAATTTTCAGCATGTGATATCGGTAGCCCAAATGTTGCAGGCCAACCATAGATATCAGGCGTGCGTCGGCAGGGGATCGAACCCCGGACCATTTGCATGGTTGGCGAGAGTCCTTACCACTGTGCCACCGACCTAATCACGCAGGACAATGCTACAGAAAGAGACGGTGGGCTTGCCGAGTCATTCTGTGCATGTAACTGTCTCCACATGAACAGTTAAATTTATAAATATACACTGAAGCGGCCAGACTCGATAACTTATCCTTCACCTGTGTTGCAATTATACAGCGTGTGGTGAATTTTAAATACACTGTTGCAGGAAAGAAGGTTGTCGAAGTTTCGATGCCAGTAATTCTGTGGCTATGTCTCCTTTAAACCAAAAAGTCGCGTGTATGCGTTTCTTCTGTACAGTGTGCAGGCATTTCTTTCTATCTGTTCTCCTCATCGAGACTATAACAAATGTTTCAGGATATCCGTTCTCGTATAAAACACTTTCTGTTTTCTATATGTGTAAAACTTGGGCACTGTGGCAGTAAGTAATTCCATTTTAGTTTATTTATTAGATGTACCACACAGTGAAACAGTATTATTATTTACTGGATGACAAGGTTTAGAATAAAATTTGTTGCCGTTCATAATCATTTCATCAATAATAATCACACGACTTTGAAACTTGAGTTTTAAATTTTTTTGTTATCTCCTATCCGTCGTCGTTGGGGTAGTAGAATTTTCTAGATATCTGGGTGGAAAGGTGGTGAATCATTGCAATTACACGTGTTTGCAGTTGGTTCGATGAATAAAGCTTCCATTATCAACCTCTCCCTCCACCCTGTGACATCGGATTTTAAAACTGGCATCCTATCCAATCTCATCCTATTGTACGGTTGTGTTTAACTGCATTCAATGAGTGGTATGGCTGAACTATTCTCCAGATTTCTTATCTCATTAGGGTCAACTAATCTATATTTGGCTACTAGGTTTTTGTTCTCCACTAGTCTGACTGACTGACCCCGTTCTACTAATTTCACCTATGTATTTAACCTGACATTCATTGCAGGGTTTAATTGGCTCCACAGGATTGATCCTTAAACTGACAAAGCTTGTTTCTAGTTGAGTTTGTGTCAGCCACTTTTATTCCTGGCTGCATTGTTAAGAATTCTCCGTAAGGTTTCCGAGGTTCCTTGCTTATGTGGAATTACTACTGATGATTTCGATTCATTATTGTTGGTGTTGTCATTATCTTGCGCATGTTTGACATGCATGCCGTCATTAATATTACTGTTATTATTATTATTATTATCACTATCACTATTATCATTATTTATTTTATTTTTACATTTCCCTACAAACTTTCTGACTAATTTATCAGGGTAATTATTAAGTTTCAAAGCTTCTCTTATATGCCTCACTTCCTGTCTTAGCTTTTCGTTGATACTACTTGGTTTTTGTGCTCTATCAGCTAAACATTTCACCAATCCTATTTTCACTGACATAGGATGGGATGATCGGAAATTCAAATATCGGTTTGGACGTGTTGCGGTTTCCAGTAAACACTAGTATTTAATTTTCCATCTTCTTCCCTTTTTAGGCTCCCCTTCTTGACTTTCCAATTTCTAAGTGAATTGAAATGCCTTTATCTTCAAGTTAATGTGTTCGAAAAATCCATCTATTTCCTGGATTAATCCGTGCCTAGCCACTATCAATGGAAGAACACCTGTATGTTCTGTTTTATTGACAGTGTTATCGCAAATCTTCAAGTGTGATAATACTGTCGAAATGTAATGCATGCTTCAATCGCCATAACCACAAACAAGTGAGAGATTCGACTAACTACTTGTATCTTCATCACCTCAAGTTTTATCTCCGCTGCCTTTTCTTTTAAATTGTTGGTTTTAGCCCCTATAGATTTTCGGATTTATTTGGCATCTGACATATATTATTTAAGAAGTCTAAATCTTCCAGAATCTTCTTGTTGGTCCAAAGTATGCGCTTCTCCCCGTCACTGACAATCTGTTTAATGTTCCAATTCACTAGCGTCAGAACAATCATTGGTGACATTCGGCAAACTTTTCTTTCTGCTGGATGTTTACTGTCAGCGTGGAAGAAAAGTTGGATGATGTATTCTGATACTTCTATCATTCTCTACATTCATGAAGTTTTCTAGTGAATATCAGGATTCTTGAGTATATCCGAAGATTCTGCTTACTTTGAGTGATGGTGAAAGTGGTATTCGAACAAAGGAAGAGAAGTCAACAAATCTGTATTTATGGTACATCGGTGGTTTAATAGTCTGGAAGTTCGTTTCTCTCAATGAAGCACTGACTGACGTAGGTTTTTGCACAGAAGAACAGCAGTGCAACTTGCCACATTCCCATGCAGCACACAAAGGTAGAGAAAAGGGACAGAAAAGGTTCAAAACAATCATGATAGTTTTGACCTAGTGAACTGTTGAAACCAGTAAGGAATAATCAACAACTGTTTCATCCTAGATATTAACTCATCAAACTGTCTGAGAGAAGTATGGCTGTATGGTTCTTAATGACAGAGTTTAGATTCCTCCTTGTTCGGAATATTCCACTCGATTCCAAAGCATTTCTTAGAATGGATTTTCGATCGACTAATTTTGTCATACATTACATGTTTTGTACTAAAACCCTGTGTGACCTGCATTGCTGCGTAACTGGACTGTTGAGATAACTTCGAGTTTTTTAATTTTATCATTGCTCTTCAGAAGGACCACAGATTTTACGCCAGATTACCATCATTTTGCTCTATTTGGGGCTATGCATGACTTAAGGAAATTTTGGTCGGCTATGTATTCGAATGCAAATGTTGGTTTCCTGCGTTGAGACCACAGTAAGTCAGTTTTGTTCGTTACACTCTACATACCTTCACTTCGACCTATTTCTTCAGACCTGTAATTATTTTATTTTGGCTGTTTTTTCGACGTTGTGATATGGTATGATGAACCAATTACCTTGGCTGGTTGGGATAGGTGTTATCATGTTTGTGTGTGTGTATGTGCACATGTAAGTAGCTTATACTGAGGTGGGATTCTGCGGGTAGCAATAAAACTGTTGTACTTTCGTCATATAGGTATGAGGGATTTAAAAAGGTTGCCACTAAATACTATAAATCTGGACACACCTCCTGGTCGTCCAAAGACACCGCTGAAGTTTACAAAAACACTTCTGAATACTTTAAGGATGACTGGCTTCAAATTGACATCTTCTTGGTTGTGAGATTGGGTGAAACCATTGCTTTTTCTATTCCTGACACAACAAAAATACAGCAGAGTGCATTGAGTTCACAGCGGAAGAAAATCTTCCATCTATCAACACCTCTCCATCTCCCCCTCTCCCCATATTCAGGGATCGCCTAGTCATTGGTCAATAAAGACCAACAGAACGTGTTTTACTAAAGTCACAACTTGTTATTTGTTCTAAAAGGTCATATCATGAAACAGTCACTATCAAACCGTAAGGCTGGATAAACGCTGAACAGTTTCCAAATTTGAAATTCTCAATCTCTCTTATTTTTTAAAGTATGAAGTAAGAATTGTTTAAAACTGATAGAACTACAATGATATAACTATCTATTTGGCCCTGATTTCTGTTCACAATGAAAACATCTTCAAAAATGTCTTGAGGATCAGAAGGCTCGAAACAAAATTAATCATGTTTGGACAAAATATGTTCAGCAGTATTGATTTTATTTTTCAAGTATGGGTTTTGCGGGGAAACCTGCAGGTAGTACTGGACAGCTGTTCCGTCCCAGTTTGGGACTCTTCAGTAGTACGCACCTACACAATTAGGGTTCAAACCCAGGACATTCTGGTTACAAGGCTAGCAGGCTTGTAGACCATTAAGCCCCTGGAACCCACCAATCCAATGGCCAGTCCATGAATTCTAACTTCTGCCAATTCATGACATAGCGGGACCACTTCGCAATGTCTTCTTCTGTGAATTACTGCCCCACCTCCAACCTGCTGTATTAACTTTAGATAAAACAACCGTACACGCATAAAACATATTACCTTTATACACCTTTGTTGTTGTATTATCAGATACGGGATATGGGATACGGGTTTTACACAGATTGGTCAATGTTTCTTTAGCCAAATTTCTTAAGGTTTTTTGAAGTTTCCTGTAATACGTAAAAGAAAATGTTAACTACGGATTTTCTCAGCAAACAAGTTTAATGAGGAAAATAAGGAAATTTAACATAAAATGTCTTCCTCATCTCTTCACCTTCCAAGTTGAACATAGGTCTTCAAGCATTGAGGTATGACGTTTCAGTAGTGATGATGCTATTCCGTTTTACGCGATGGGGCTACTAGCCTAATATTAAACCTTCCCCCTTTTCTAAGCTTCCTACCAGCTAGTAAAACTGATGATGTATAGGAGTGCATCGGCCAGGAATCGAATCCAGACCACTTTCGCGGTTGGCGAACATTCTACCCTTGCATCACTGGTGCATTTTGCATATATTGATGAACCCAATGGTTTTCAGGAGAACCAAACACTCACTCATCCAAGCCAGTTGCAAGGCCAGAACTGCATACAGTATCATCCTGTGGTAGAACTACTCGGCAGCCTTCTCTCATAGTGAATCACTATTGTCATATATCTGGAAGTAATAGTTAGGAATCCCTGTACTTTGGTTTTATGCTTAATGGCATACGTCAGTCAAGGCTTATTTGTTTGATGGTAATTAATGATGCCGTCTTAGTTGCGTATTTCACAGAACTCATCCTCCAAAATTAAACTAACCGCTTCGGTTAAGTCGAATCAACAATAAGAAGGAACAAGTAATACCAGTCGTACAACATGTGGTATATACTACTGACGACAGAAAACGAGGACTAGGCAACAGACTGCTTATTGAGAAAATCAGCAAGTATTTATAGATTTTTATGTACATTATTATTAGCGTTAATTGTTAGCAGTGAAACGGTGCCTTCTGATTGGTCGTTTTCTTGTTCAAGGTCATTCTGTCATCTCTTTGTTGCCGTTTCTTAGACAGTCCGTTGATATATATCTGCTAATCATATCCGCCCACGCTAAGTTTGCTGTGATTGGTTGTTGAGTTAGTCTTTGTTCTTGTTTTTGTTTTCTCATGACCAAGGTTTGGGACGTTAACAATGACGTGAATTGCTGTTGACCAATTTTGGCTAGCAGACAGCTCTCACCACAATATGAGTCATGGGAAATCATTCACTTCGGTCAACAGTGCTTGCTGATCAGACGGAAGTGATGTTAAATACTGAATAGCCAGCCCATTCCTCTGGTTTGGCACCGTACTTATCAGCGGCGCAGCAAACATGGTTCTTATATCTTCACTGCACTGGTATTTGTGCCTAGTTCGTATCATAGTGGAGATATAATTCAAATCGATAGAAGTAGATCCGCCTGCTGAGTCTTGAATAGGACAGTAAATGTATTCTAGGTCCCACTGTAAGTCATCACATCAATACTGATGCATCGACTTAAGGAAGCCTTATGTCAAAGACGAAATATCAGTCTACTGAAACCTACAGCTTCGGAGTGACGTCAGTAACTCCATTCAGTTAGGAAAAACCATACTGTCACCAGTCAAACTTCAGAGCTTGAGGAATAAATCCTTATGTTCCACCAGGAATTCAAAAGAAATGACAAGTAAAAATAATTAATCCCCGTTAAATGTGCTTATTTTAGTTTATGTATGTAGTGAAGCTTCTTGGATATCAAGTCCGATTACACGGCACGACAATACAGGGAACAAATCACGCGAATTATGACAGTATAATGCAATCTCACTTCTGAAAATCATTCAAAAATAATCCATTCAACTGGATTCTACTAAATGCTGAGCTAGTGAAACATGAAATTTCAATTCCATATTAGTTTGTTTATTAGGTCTATCACAATGTGATGAAACAGTGTTATTATTTACTGGATGACGCTTCGAACAAAATTTATTGTTCATAATCATATCAATTATAATCACACGACTTCAAAACTTGAGTTTTATAGTTGTCTTAGTTATCTCCTATCCGTCGTCATAGGGGTAGTAGAATTTTACAGATATCTGGGACAGGTGTTGAATCATTCCCACTATACGTATTTGCAGTTGATTCGATAAACAAAGCTTCTGTTACCAATCTATCCCTCCACCCTGTTACATTAGATTTTACAACTGTCATCTTATCCCGTCCTACTATACGGTTGCGTGTAATTGCATGTAGTGAGTGGTATAGCTGAACTATTCTCTAGATTTCTTATCTTATTCAGATCATCTAATCTAGATTTTGTCAGATTTTGCCATCCTGTGAAGCCTTTAAAACAAAACAATTTAGTTTATCTAATACCCTGCCTGCAATGATTGTCGGGTCAAATACATAGGTCAAACTAGTAGAACAGGTGCAGTCAGTCAGACTAGCCAAGCATAAAAACCTTTAACGGAAGCTTTTTTGAGTCATTGAATCAACTGCAAACACGTGTAATAGGAATGATTCAAACCTGTCCACGCAGATTTCTGGAAGATTCTACTATCCCTACGATGGCAAATAGGAGAGAACAAAGGAAACTATAAAACTCAAGTTTCGAAGTTGTGTGGTTATAATTGATATGATTATGAACAATAAATTGTGTTCGAAACTTTGTCATCCAGTAAATAATACTGTTTCACTGACTGTGTGATAGATCTAATAAAGAAACTAATATGGAATTACTTACTACCACAGTAGTGCCAAAGTTTTAAACATATATTAATATGAGATTTCAAGTGAACTAAATTTGGACACATAGATTTGGATATATTTGAGTGGTTTATGATTATTATTATTATTATTCCCCTGGATTCTGAGGGTAATGTAGGGCTTGAACAGTAAATCACCACTTTATCCCGTTCTCTGTATTCCTTTTTATTACTTTACTCCACAATTGCCCGTAGGCTTTCCTTTCCTCCATAAACAATCCCCATTTTGTCATCCTCTGACCCATGCGCATCTTCTCGTCTGCCTCTCCTTGGGGTTCCATTTGAGGGTCTACGTGGCGTTTGGCGTCACTCAACAGTCTTCTCAGAATATGCCAGATATACCTCCATTTCCTTATACATATTTGTTAGGCAGGGGTTCTTGGCTGTTACGTTGCTTATATGACTTCCTCGGCATTTATCCTTTTTGGCCAGTCATTCGGATCTTCAGTGTGGAGTGATATGGACAGCTACTGATGAAATTCCTCCGTAGCCCGTGTTGGAAATGCTTTCCGTGACTCGCCGATTCTTGGAACCACATAGAAGCAATAACTAACTAACTTTATATTAGTGCTGGACTCCAAAATCTCGTCCTTTATTCTGAATGCCATGGATTTTCACACTGATTTCAGGGTAATGAAGGTCTATGTATTCTTTTTCGATCCTGCTGATCTTCATCCGTGCCGCCTGTAGTGGAAACAATACTGCCTAGCAAGGTAAGCGAAAGAAGTAGCGTTCGTCAAATTTCTTCCATTCATACTGATTGATGCTTTTTCATGATAATAAAGGTTTTCTTGTATTTCCCAACGAATGAATGAAAAAGAGCAAGACGATATCGTTGTTTTTACTGACATTTTGCTATTTAATGCTGCTGCTAATAGCATCATCATAGTAGTATTATTAAACCAGAATTAACAAAATCTCAGCTTATATATAACAACTTAATCATCATTCATCAGCATGGGGTAATTTCCACATTATCAAGTTGGCCAATTGGTAAAGATAACAAAACTAGGTGAGCATACTTTTGGATTTGATAAGCATGTAAAATTATAAAAGCAGCATGTGTTTACATAATGAAACTGCCTATCACACATTCGTGTTGAACTTTTCGTTTCATGGGGTTGGGGGTGGGTGTTGTAACCAGGTCAGATTCTATTCTAGTCCATCATTCATTTCTATTCAGACAATTTGGATTCTATTTGATATGAAGTGCTTCTGATGATTTGAGACGTTCTCCGTGATTTCTGAAATTTTCTAGATTATTTCAAGATTGTCGGAATCAATTTTGTGGCCTGATTCTATAGCGTGTGTATCGCTGATGATTTTTCATGCTTTCCTGGTTCACCAACTGAATTTTACGATGGTCGAACAGATGCTCTACGGTATTCACTTCTTCTGATTTTGATTTTTCTGTGGCGATGTTTGTCAGATGTATATTGAATTACATTCGAAGCATTTTATTTTATAGATACAATTAGATAAAAAATTTAGGGATTCGATCATTTATATGGGCAAGATTGCTTTGCAGTGTGTTTGATGTTTTGAAGAAAACTCTGATGTTGTGTTTTCATTGAATACTCTTCTGATATCGCCTGACATTTCTGATCTATATAGGATGACATCTGTTGAGACCCAAGTCTTCGGAAGACTTTTTCGACCATACTTAATGTCAGTGTTGATTTTGTTGATGATGTTTGGATAGTTGTTTTGCTTGAGAGTTTCAGTAATGTTTGATATTTCTTCTTCTTTTTCCTTCTCATATGTTAAAATAAAAGAGAGTGTTCGTCTAAGAAGACTTGGAACAACTGAAACCTTTACGCTGATAGGGTGTGATGATCCAAAGTTTAAATATTTGTTTTAGTGAATTTTCTTCCTGAATAAAGATATATTAAAATATCCATTTTCCCTCCTCTTAACTAGGCAGTCTAGAAATGGTATTTCACCGACTTCTGATTCTGCCTGCTTCCAAAGTAAACTGGATGCTGGGAGATAGATTTTTCAGTTTCTCCAAGATTGAATTCTGTAGATCTCTTTTTAGCACAAAAACGTATCATCAACTTATCTCAGTCATATTTTAGGCGTGAGTATGCTTGAAAAGATGTTATCTTCAAATGTATTCTTGAAAAGATCAGTGATTATTGGAGGAACTGGTGAACCCATAGAAACACCATTTGTCTGCCAATGTATCTAATATCAGAAGCACTCCATATCAAATAGAATCCAAATTGTCTGAATAGAAATGAATGATGGACTAGAATAGAATCTGACCTGGTTACAACACCCACCCCCAACCCCATGAAACGAAAAGTTCAACACGAATGTGTGATAGGCAGTTTCATTATGTAAACACATGCTGCTTTTATAATTTTACATGCTTATCAAATCCAAAAGTATGCCCACCTAGTTTTGTTATCTTTACCAATTGGCCAACTTGATAATGTGGAAATTACCCCATGCTGATGAATGATGATTAAGTTGTTATATATAAGCTGAGATTTTGTTAATTCTGGTTTAATAATACTACTATGATGATGCTATTAGCAGCAGCGTTAAATAGCGAAATGTCAGTAAAAACAACGATATCGTTTTGCTCTTTTTCATTCATTCGTTGGGAAATAGAAGAAAACCTTTATTATAGTGAATATCATATACCCAATGCCTAAACTTTTTCAAACTGTTTAAAGTGAACTTGGTTTGGACATATGTAAACCGATGTCTGTTAGATGTCTTCATCACCTCTGTCTTCTTTATGTGCACTTGAAAGCCTATCTTCTCTGCATTTTCTGTCAACTTGTTGTGTTTTCACCCGCAGATATTCAAGTTTGTGTGGCATTAGAAGTCCAGATCTTCAATGCCTGTCTTCTCACACCCCGTGTTCCATCGTACGATACAGTCCGCCACAATTAGGAGTATCATCAATGATGGTAGGCAGCCTTGTGTAATTAATATCTCCAATTCGAAGTCTTTACTGAAATTTCCGTTCTCAACCATGAGGTATATGACATCATCCGGTAGCTAGCAATTGAAAGAGGTTTATGCAGGTTTGGGGCACTCCGAAGTGTAGTTACCAGGGGGAAAATCACTTATCTACCTGGAACCTCAACGTATCATTCAGTGGCATTCGGTAACATTCGTAACTAGACGTCTCTATTCTCTCTCTCTGTTTTGTTACGTCACGGATTTTTTTCGATCACAAACAAATCAAATGAACTTCTTGTATGAAATAACCAGTCATCAGAGTAGACATTTTTGCATTCCTACTACAAGAAGCGGTTACTTACACAGGGTTTGTAATTACTTCATGAAATTTATACAGCGAATAACCAAATTTTTCACCCATTTTCAAAAAGTCTGCCACATTTAATTTCATCAGAGAATTGCTGTTATAACAAAAGAAAAAAAAGGAAAAGGAAATATAAAAATTCTACTAAAATTGACTGGACAGTTAAACGACTGCATTGGTAACCTCATAGCTCTAATCAGATTTTTGTTGATGTTATAGGTGTCCATTTGAAGAGTCCCAAACTAAGATGAAACATCTATTCTAATGATAACAATAATAATTTTGCTTTATTCCAGAAACAGTACTAGTGGTACATTGTGGAATTTTCAGCACATATCTACAATATTTGCATCTAATTTTATCAAACCTTTAAAGGAGTATCACATAAAGTAAATATAAAGACAACAACAACAAATAACACAAAAATAATAAAAAAGTGCGAAAAACACCAAGAAGTAGAAAGGAAAATAAATAACATGAAATAATATCTCAGTATTGGGTAGTGGAAGCTATGATATGATTTTGCATGGTGACAGTAAAGCTATAGTCATACAAGAAGTTATGAAATGATATTTAAGAATGTTTATCGCCAAGATGATCAGTTAATTTGGTTGAAACAACTCTAAACACTTATAAAATAACATTTCAGGCTTGTTGTTTTGTTTTCCACTCTCAGGTCTAATGCAGTGTTCGTAGTGGTAGTGTGAGTAATCCTGCATAATACAAAATTTTAAGATGGTGATAATGACGTTCACAACCAAGATTGTCAGTTAATATTGCCGAACAAAAAAAAACAACAACCACAAAACTAATAATCACATGATGGTTAGTGACAGGACAGTTTTGTAATACTCATAGTGCTAATATAGTTGGAACCAGTAAATACACAAAAGAAGGAATAGAATAAAGCACAAAAAAGGAAGCCAATCTTAATAATTTAGGTAGCTAAGTATGCTTAAGGAGTTCACAATAAAATACAAAATAAGAGAGAAATAAAAGAGCCTAAAATTATGTTATTAACAACAAAGCAAGTCATAGGTCTCACGCTTAACATTGTCTCTGTCGATTACAAACACGGGCCAAGTATGGTATCGTTGAGTTCCTGTACTTGGTTCTACGAGAATAGATTATTTTATACTGATTTGTGGTTTTACTTGATGAGATACAAGGTGAGAGTTGGGAATAGAGGGGGTGTTGGGGGTCGGAGAGTATGGTCTTAGACCATTTTTCGCATGTATTCAGATGCCTTTCAACTAATGTAGTGACGAGCTGACTGAGTTTTACACCACTAGTCCTACTAACTACCTTCAACATTCAATGAGTCTTGGTTTTCATAGTTTATTTTAGCATTATCTATCTGCTCTGATGAATTTCTAAATGAAGAGCTTAATATTATTAAACAATTGCTGAGTGAGAACGGCTACTCAGAAAATATCATCAATCAGAATGAGAATCAAAAGTCAAGGCAGGCCAAAGTGCCATTTTAAAGAATCGATAGTATTTAAAAAACACCAATATTATTAATGACGATAATTCTAGAATATTCTATGTATATAAACATACATAGTTTTATAATTGCAGAGCCACAGGAGGAAATTATCGAAAAGAATATTCTTAGCTCAAATTTACATTTTACCTTCTAAATGATCAATATTTGTACATAGGTCACAAGAAGAGTTGGCTGACCAACTCATGAAGAATTCTAGAAGCTCATTTGATAGTTGAATTCTGCGCTGAAAATCTTGTCTAGAAGGAAAATGGAATCACCGCAACTAAATCATCCAGCTTAGAGAACACAACCACACCATGATTAAATCCTGACTAACAGATTATCGAACTACTCTGCACTCTGTACTTAAGCATAATAAAAAAAAGAACGAAAGAGAACACCAACTGTAAGATAAAAACAAAAAAACAGATGTCAGAAATCAATGTATCCTGAAAGGTATTCACTTACTTTTCTAAAGTTGATGCATTAAATGTTGCTTCCATAGTAAAACTATTGATGACTTCAAATTCACGCCAGAAGACAACTCGACTAGTTGCTTCTTTACTTGGATGAATAGTGAAACGACAGTTTGGAAATGAAAAATATGATGATGCCTAGAATAAATTTGAAAAAAAAATAAAGTGGATATACATACTAATTGATTATTAGGCATTATTGAACGTTACGTTTGTATATGAGACTGCTACCCATATATATCGATTATAAATAGTTGTCTTTAGTCATTGATGTTTGTGTTCTGTATACAAAAAATGTGAAATTCTTGTTCAGTAATGAAATGCACAGACCGGTGGATGAAGTGGCCATGGGATCATTACTAGGTCCTAGATTTGCAAATCTATTCCTAGCGAAACTAGAAAATGGTCCACTGAAAGATGAAATAGATAAAATGGAACTGTACTGTCAATACATTGATGACACTTCTGCAGTGAGCGATGAAGGTTTGATCTTGGGCCACTTCAATAGTGCTCACCCAGCAGTCTATTTTACATGCAAAGGAGAATAAAGCGACTCTCTCCGTTTTCTCGACAACTTACTAGCGAGAAGAGAGGATGGTTCCATTAGAAGAACTATATTTAGAAAGGTAGAGATTAAAGCTCAATATGCACACTATTCCTCGGCTTCATAACAATGAAATACCAACGTAATCTGATCAGATGCTTAGCATTTAGAGCGAGGTCAATTTGTTCACAGTGACCTTCAAATATCATCGGATCAACACAAGATCAATAGATTACAGTTATTAGAAGCGTGTGTAAGTGATATTTTGTACAAAAATGTAAATACTAAATTCAATGTCAGATAAGTTAAGAAAAATAGCAATACATAATTTATGAATTTATAGATATTAGAGTAGGCCAGGGTAGTACAAAGCTGATTGTACTTGTTTCTCTTTCGCGCAGACTTCCAGCTGCTTTAAGTGAATTACAGAATCTTCAGTTATATATTTGTCGTTGCTCTAGGAAGTTAGTTTTCTGAATTGGGGAACACATACTACTGCATCTAAATAAAGGTGTTGTTGAGACCCTATCACCACAAATTTAACATTGAAGAGAATTTTTCTATCATCGAGATGATGAAACCAATAAAAGATGTTCAAGGAAACCTGATCACCAAGTATGAGAAACAAATCAAAACAATGGACTGATCACTTCATCACCCGCAACTCAACCAGAAGTGCCACCACCACCAACAACACTCAAAGAACTGCCTGATAGTTGGCATCAATCCTCCAACGAAAGCAGAAATCCTAAATGCAGTCAGGCTACTTGAGGCCAGCGTGAGAAGGCAGCAGGGCCAGACGGAATTCCCCCCGGAGCATTGAAAATGGACTCAGAGACTGGGGTATTCCGAAAGGTTTGGAAAGAAGGAAAGGCACCTACCGATTTGAAAAATGTTTACCTTGTCAAGCTATCAAAGAAGGGCAACTTACGCTACACTCTGCAAGAACTGGCATGGAATCATGCTCTTGTCCACACCAAGTAAAATGCTAACTCGCGTCATCCTGGAGAGAATAAATGATATATTAGATGCAGAAATCCGCCTCAGAGAAACAGCTGGAATCGGGAAAAGCAAATCATGTGCTAGTCAAATTTCAACCTCACGCATCATCAGCGGACAGAGCATAGAATTGCAGTCAAGACCCTACCTCAAATTTATCGACTTCGAAAAGGCCTTCGACAGATAGCGTTGGTCGAGGAGTAATTTCTAAACTATTTCAACACTATGGACTGTTCCAAGTATTTATCAGCCTCATTCAACAGCTGGTTGTGCAACAATGCCACTATGTTAGGTGATCCACAACAGAAAACTTAGCGAAGCCTTTGAAGTACACACAAGAGTGAAACAAGGCTGGCTGCCTATTATCACCCACGATGATATTCCCGAGTGTTGTGATGGACTGGATTATAAAGAACACCTTGCATGAGAAGACAGAAGACAGGGTTTCGCTGCATTGACCGATAAGAAAACTCTAGAAGATATGGGTTTCGCACGCTGATGATTTGCGTTTAATGTGATACACACACAAGCACACAAACTGGAAGACTTGCTGTCAGGCGAAAGGCAACAGACTGGCTGAACAGGCGAAATAGGTAGCGAAGACAGGACTTCAGGTGAACATAGAGAAGACGGACGTAATGAAAGTAACCGACCAATAATAACAACCAGCACTGATCATCATCAACGGGAGAAATTTGAAAGAGGCCACTTCCTTCAGTTATCTAGGAAACATCGTTTCAACTACAGGCAGTCAGACAACATGGATGAAGATGTCAAAATCAGAATCGGAAAGGCGATGAAAGCCTTCATGGATTGGACACACGCTTAGGAGACCATCGAATGACATCAGGCCTCAGACCATAACTCAAGTGTAATGCGAATGGGTAATGCCGAGTTGGGCATGGATCGAAGGATGACATAGAGGCTGTCATGCGAGGAGGAGATCAGAGAGTATAGGCAACCGTGGGGTCAGCTATAGAGGACAGCGAAAAATAGGGAAAAGTGAGGATGTGCTGTTAAAGGCTTTAGTTCTACTCGGAACTCAAGAGAACAGTAAATCTAATGGCCAAGTTGCATAATATTGAGGTTAGGCATAAACTGTCAGGCGAAGGGGAAAATAAGTCGATACAGTTATGGAGCTGCGTTGATTCAGACACATAGCGAGCCGTCGCATTCCTCAGCAAACAATATTAGCTAACCCAGGTTCAGGTTGGTATACAGCTAGGAGTGGTCCAATCAAAATATACCATTAGTCCACAAAGTCTTTTACTCTTGGTGTCAGCCAGCCGCTTAAAAAGAAGTAGACTGCCTGCCTGATCAGGGTCTTTTAAGCATTAAAAACCAATGACTTGAAACGGTTAGTGATATGAAGTAAAATCTTTCTCAGTGAAGCTGATACGTTCAATCTTAAATATTTCCTAGATCTCCATGTAAATACCTTTTTTCTTCCGAACATTTCCGTTCATTATAGTGTATTTTAACATGAACTGATGCACTTTTGTGCAATCTTCTAAGTCGGAAACTCAGTCAGTATCAACAGCCTACTGAACAACTTCCTAGGCAAAGAAATGAAAACCACTGAAAAAGAAATATGACGAGAAGACAACGACGCTGAGAAGAATCCAATCAGAAATACCGCCAGCGGAGAAAAGAAGAATACCAGTAGTTTTATCCTTGAACTCCTTTCCAACTCTGGGGTATCGTGCTCACCTGCACAAATGCTTTACCCCAATATCGTGCGAAAGGACTTAGAACACGCTGTTTAAACATAGTCGAACTACTGGCTTTTTGGGGCCTGAAACCGAAACCTCTGAGTTTTCAAACACTCATTCGCCATACAGTGGATACAGTAACATTCGAGTCATAGTTTTATTCAGTTTTACTCCTTTACTCATGATTATAAAAGTATTTATATTTCCCAGAAAATGAAAAAAACGATGTTGTATTTACTGACGTTTCGCTATTTAATGCTGTTGCTAACAGCGTTATCGAAGTAGTATCATTAAACCAGAATTTACAAAATCTCAGCTTGTATATAGCGAACTTAATCATCCTTCATCAGCATGAGATCATTTTTGTGTTGTCAAATTGGCCAGTTGGTAAAGATAACAAAACCACGTGAGCATACTTTTGAACTTGATAAGCGTGTAAAATTATAAAAGCAGCATGTGTTTATATAACGAAATTGTTTATTACATTCGTGTTGATTTTGTCATTTCATGGCAGAGGTGCATGGGTGTCATAACCAGGTCAAATTCTGTTTCAGTCCATCATTCTTATTCAAATAATTTGGATTCCATTTGATATGAAGTGCTTCTGATGATATCAGACGTTCTTCGTGATTTCTGAAACTTTTCTGAATTATTTCAATATTGTCAATATCAATCTTGAGACCTGATTTTAGAGCGTTTACACTTGTAGCCTATGATTTTTCAGGCTTTCCTAGTTCAACCGGATTTCTTGGTAGTCGAACAGATGCTCTACAGTGTTCATTTTTTCTGATTACCTTGATTTCTCTCTGGCGGTGTTTGTCCGATGTACGTCGCATCATATTCCAAGCATTTCATTTTGCAGTCACAATTAGATTGAGAATCCTTAGGGATTTGGTCTTTCACATGGACAAGGTTGCTTTGTAGTATCTGGTATTTTAAGGAAAACTCTGATGTCGAGCTTATTGAGTACTCCTCTGATATCGTCTGATGTCTCTGCTCTATACAGAATGACAACCGTTGACGTTCATATCTTTGGAATACATGTTTTCGACCATATTTGATGTCAGTGTTGATTTCGTTGATGAAATTCTTTGGGTAGTTGTTTTGCTTGAGAGTTTCAGTAATGTTTGATATTTCTTCTTCTTTTTCTTTCTCATCCGTTAACATCAAATAGTGTGCTCGTTTAACAAGACTTGAAACAGCTGATACTTTTGTGCTTATAGGGTGTGATGATCCGAAGTATAAATATTTGTTGGAGTGGTTCTTCTTCCTGAATATAGATATATCAAAATAAACGTTCTCCTTCCTCCTAACTAGGCAGCCTAGAAATAGTAGTTCACAGAAGTCCTATTCTCCTGGGAGATTGTTCAGTTTCTCCAAGAATAAATTGTGTAGAACTCGTTTAAGAACAATGAAAGTATCATCAACGTATCTTAACCATATCTTAGGCGTGAGTACGCTTGAAAAGATGTTATCTCCGAATCTTTTCATGAAAAGATCAACGATTATTGGGGAAACTTGTGAAACCATAGCAACACCATTTGTCTGTCTCAGGTTGACATATCTGCTCCATGTGCATATACTTCGACGATATCTGGGCACTTAGGTCCAAACAGTCGACGGGAAAATCTAAAATTCAATTAAATAATTAATATGACCCGTTGCACAAGAGATGGCCAGCTCTCGTGGCCCAAGTGGTCTAGTGGATAACGCTTTGGCGTTTGAAACTATGGACACTGGGTTCAAGGCTAGGTGAGAACATCATCACTCACTGCGGAATGCAGCTGCATCCACTGGCTGACGAGTCCCGAATGGGACGAAATGAGCATCCTGAATTCCACTGCTAGTCTCCATCCGCCAGTTAAATTATAAGTTGGAAACGATGCAAAATAATAATGACATAGTGATAACTCACCTCTTGAGATATAATGTAAGGCAGTAGTCTTTCGTGAAGACTTTTTCCAGTATTGTTATTAAATATTTTCGAATATCTACTTGATGCATCACAGCCATACATAAAGATGTTATTACGTCGACTGTGTCCATGCATATCACAATAAATGACATCCTAGTTTGGATGACAGAATACAGAATGTGAAACAGCTGGATTAGTTTTCTATTTTATAGAATAAAATGAAATTATTATACGATAATTACAACAGCTAACTATTTAGTGCTACCCAAGAAAGGTGAAATATTTGAACACAGTGCGGTTCTGCAGCTGATGACATCTTTTCGAAATAATTAAAATGCTTGTTTGAATCACCTCGACTATGTTGATGCGACCGACTGCAAGTTTCAATCACTGACTGATATCATTTGGAGAATCATTGAAAACTTTGAAGTACAGCATAACTGCTTCGCCCTTCTCTAGGACTCTTCAGTAGTATGTCCACATGATCTTTCCACTAGAGATCGAACCGACTGACTGCCGGTTGCAAGGTGAGGTGGTTGATCCTTCAGCCAATAGGATGGACTGATGAAGAGCTACAAACTAGGCTACCGAAACAGCTGTCCAGGACTCCCTGCAGGTTTTCCAATGATTCTCTAACTGATCTCAGCTCATGATAAAATCCCGCAACCAATCAAACAAAAATTCCCTACAAAACCAATACTTGAAAATTCTAAGCTTTGCAAATACACGATATAACACAACAGCCAGCCGATGTCATCAACAAGTATTTGTCCTCAAACCCAACTTGGTGAGCCCCACTGACCACCAGAAAACTCCAGGCAACTTTATTCTACAGTCAGACACCAGTGACCACCAGAATAATTTTCAGGTGTTGATTTTGTATTGATGAGACACAATGTACAGAATACGAAGTTTTTGTAAGTGAAGGAAAGCATTAATATTATTTCCTTTAGTTTCTAGAAGAACATAGGGCTTCAGCCGTGCGTCTCCATTGCGTTCGGTTCTCTGCTAGAGTTTTCACCTGGCTCCAATTCTGCTCACATGCTTTCATCTCCTCTTCAAATGATCTCCTCCAAGTAACCCTTTCGGGTTCCACTCGAGTGGTGGCTTGTCTAGTGATGTCACTTGATGGTTTGTTTCCTCAGAGTATGGCCGATCCAATCCATCTCCATTTCTTCTTGCCTATTTGTTTCACAATCGGTTCCTGGTTGATTTGCTCCCAGAGATCCCTCTCTGTTGCTGATCTTTTCTGGCCATCTGATCTTGAGTATTGAGCGAAGATAACTGTTAATGAAGGTCTGTAGTTTGTTTGAGGTGCTCTTTATGACGAGCCAAGACTCTCATCCGTATAGTAAGTAGCACTGACTTCACATTGAAATTGAAAATCCGGATCTTATTTTTGATGCTGGGTGTTGTTGATCTCCACACAAACTTGAGAGTAATGAAAGCTTGTCTTGCTTTTCCGATCCTCACACTTTGATATCCTCGTCAGTTCCGTCCACCTGTAGTTGAAATGATGTTTCCCAGGTAGGTGGGTAGGTGAAGGAGGTTGTTTCTTTCAGGTTCCTTCCATTTATGCTGATTGTTGTCTGTTGTTGTTGCTGCTGTTGGTGGTATTGCCTAGGAATCTTCATCACCTTCTCTATGTTCACCTGAAGGAAGTCCTATCTTCTTTGGCTGCTTCTTCTGCCAACTTGTTGCTGAAGGAAAGCATTAGACAGGGGAAATGAAATAGAGAGATATTCTATACTACTGACTTGCTGAAATAAGTAGTTGGAAGCCACTGACGTAAAATAGTATTGCCTGCCAACTAGACTGAAAATTATAAAACACAAACCATCCTCCTGGAAATGAAGTAGGATTAAAAAGTCTTGAAAACGATAGGCTGCAATATTTCAAGGAATGGGATGGAAAATAGAAGAAAGTGGAGATGTGTTGTTGAAGCCCTGCGCTCCACTCGAACCCATCATAATAATGATGATGGACACTCTGATGGTCTCGTATGAATAAATTTCCCTAATCACCTCAATGTGTACTCTCTGTCGATTAGCTATCTAAGAAAATCAATAGTGGTGTTGTACAGCTTTTGTGGTAGACAGTGGATATCTGGAATGTGTTACTGATAAGATTTATCAGTAGTATATATATAAAGATACAAAAACACATCAAATAGCAGGAAGATAGATTTGATGTCAGAGAAAGCATATGATACAGCGGAGAAACATGACAGACGTGAAACGAGCACAAAGAAAGACAATGTGAAGGATAGAGAGAAGTAGTAGCAGAACACGGAAGATCTGTGGAAATGGTGCGTTGAAGATAAGGTGTACATAAATCCGCTATATAGTGATACCAAATTGCATATAAAACATTCCTTTACCAAGTCTTTCACCTTACACCTTAGACAATCAATATTCCTGATTACTATAGTTACACAAGTTGGCGTCCCCTTTCAATCATAAAACAATAAAACTTGCCTTATATTTCTTTTTACACCATTTTACAAGTTGTTTGACTGTCCATACTGTTGGAAAGATATCTTTTCTTGGTTGACGATAATTTCGATTTAAGTCTCGCCCTGTTAATGAGCATCTTTAATGAAAAAGAAATGAAAACGAAGAGGGAGATAAAACAAAATAATAAGGTGACAGGTAAGAAAGCAATAAACATTCTTAAGGTTTTCCTCCGAGGGATTTCAAACAGATCATAAAACAAGCAACAAATATCAGTACGACAAAGTCAACTGCCAACTTCAGGTCAAGAAGTATGGCAAGTGTTAGGCCCTGGTACTTACATCTGTGTTGCAGAAAATATTGAAGACTGGCGAATATAATCACTCTACCTATCCTTGTTTTCGCACAAAACTGACCTGGTTGTAATTCCACATTAGATAAGTTTATTTTAAATATCACACACAGTGATGCAGGTGCAGTATTAACAAAAACTGGATGACAAGATAGTTTCGAGCATAAATTATTACTACTCATAATCATATCATATTTAGTCACACAGAGTCACAATTTCCCTCTCCAACTTCCCTTCGTTGTTTGCTACCAGTTCCCATATCTCCACTATAGACGACTCGTTGCGCCACTCCAACTGCACATGTGCGGTGTTGAATCGATAAACAAAGCTTCAGTCAATGGTTAACCTCTCTCTGTCCTCACCTTACTCTATATTACTTTTTAATACTGTCACATTGTCTCACTTTACTGTGTGATGATTACATGCGAGTGAATGCAGTGCAATCGCTGAGCACTTTTCTGGGTTATTGAACTTGTTAGGGTCAGTTATTCTAGGTCTAGCCAGTTAAATTTTTATGCTTCAATAAGCTGTTTGACTCCGATCTACTAGTTTGACTGTGCCTACTATCAACGGTGATACTGCCAACTGTGGTCGACTGGATCATGCAACTGACGGTCGGAAGCGAGAAGACGGCTTATGTTAGATAATCAGAAAGACTCTATAAGATTTCGACTTCATGGAACATCTAAGTCTAATGTCATGCAGACATAAAGATTTGCAGGTGAAAACCAACAAACTGGCTGAAGACACTGGCAGAGAATAGAGGACTTTAAGTGAACATAGAGAATAAAGTGATGGTGAAGACATCCGCCTACTTACAACGACATGCGCTAATCACTGTCAGCAGAAGAAATTCAATGAAGTTCACCCCTTTCACCTACTTGGGCAGCATCGCTTCAGCTACAGGTTGTGATACAGAGGAGGATTTCAAAGCCAGCATCGGAAATGCAAAAAACAAGCCTTCATTACTCTGAGGTCAGTATGCAGGTGTACTGCATTTGACATGAGGAACAAGGTCCAAATTTTCCACACTAATTTCAAGTCAGTGCTTTTATATGGTTCAAAAAATTAGAATACGAGTTATGGAAAGCATTTCCAACAGATTGCCGACACTCATCAACATTTGCCTTCGCTGGCTAGCTCCATCAGATAGTCCGCTGGAAACGACAAGCGACAAAGGACTTTGTAAGGCAGAGAAACAACCAAGGGCCTTTCCGCCCCACAAATATATAGAAAAAAACACAAACGGACAGGAGTGATATCACACACCAGTCAAACCGTCGAGTAGAACCCAAAAGGGGAAAGACGAGTTGGTCGGGATTTCAACGGTGACATACAGGAGATCATATGTGGTAGAAGTGTGAGTGTATGCAAAATCATCAAGCCAGCTTTAAGAGGCGATAGATAGGAAAGGCAGGTGAAGATGGGCTGCTGGAGCCTTATATTCCACTGGAAAACCAAAGGAACAATAATAATTCCTAAATACCTACTCAGTCGAATGACTACATCATTTTGTTATCAAAATGCATCTCTGCAGATATAATAGCCAACAGAGTAGCGGGCACTTGACCAAACTTGATCCCTCTTGAATATATAACACGTATATATTTTTATCTTTCTGATTACAGCTTGATTCCACACCGTATTTTTAGGTACAGGTGTGGAATTTTCAGCATGTGATATCGGCAGCCCAAATTTTGCAGGCCAACCATTGATATCAAGTGTGCATCGGCAGGGGATCAAACCCCGGACCATGTGCATGGTCGGTGAGAGTCCTAACCACTGTGCCACCGACGGACAGTATGTGTATATTTTAAATCACAGTCTAATTTACTCATGAATCCTCCAGTGAAGTCATATCTAATGTTAAACAAATACGTTTGTTACAGGATTTCATCATGAGCTGACATCAGTTAGAGAACCACTGGAAAACCCGCAGGCAGTACTGGACAACCAACTGTTTCGTCAGCCCAGTTTGGAGCTCCTATCAGTATGCACCCACCCTATTATGGTTCGAAAACAGGACCTTCTGGTTAAAGGGCTAATGAGCTCGTGGACCATTATGCCACTGGGACCCGATCCAGTAGCCAATCCATGAATTCTAACTTCATGATATAGCGCAACGGGCACTAGACAATGTCATTGCTGGCGAGTATTTGCCCTCGCACCCGACCTGCTGCACCCTACTGTGGCTTGCTGATCAACAAGCTCGCTAGCCATGTAACCAGAAGGTCCTGTGTTTGAACACCAGTGGAGTGAGTGCGTGCTGATGAAGACTCCAAAACTAGGCTTACGAAACAGTTGGCTGTCCATTACTCCCTGTAGGTTTTCTAATGGTTCTCTAACCAATAATGTCAGCTCATGATGAAATCCTGTAACTAATCAATCGAATCCCTACAAAACCGATACTTAAATACGTTTGTCTCATATACTACTTACCTGTAGTTTCCAACGATTACACCATCAGGATTAAGCATCGGTACAATGTAGAAGATATATTGTTTCTTTAATTCCATTGATATTCCTTCATTTGACATAAGAAATCGTAGAAATCCAAGTACCATCCAACTTGAATTTGTTTCACCAGGATGAACACGTGCAGTGATGACAACTGCATACTTTTGTTTATTCGGAATATCTTATTCAATAAAAAATGAAGAATTAAAAGAAAACTTGAAAATCAAATTAGTTCTATCAGTCAATGATTATGAATTTCTTTCGATTAAAAAGTAACTATATTTTTCGTTTCATTCCCTGCATTCCGAGTGGAATGTGGCGAAGCTTCAGGATTGGAAGGTTCAGTAGAGAGGGTTGTGTTTCTGCTTTTACGGTGTAAGATTCTTAGCCTCAGGATCGCTGTAATTGTTATTCTTTTGAGTTCCGAATGGAACATATGACTTCAAAAGTACATCTCCATTTCATCGTATCTCTTAAGGTCCTCTTTGGCTGGTTCTGAGATCGCCCATAGGCTATCATCTCCTCCTCACACGTATCCTATTCGGATTCCATTCGAGGACCTAGTGTGTGACGTCACTGGTGGTAATGCCTGAAGAAATCAGCTTGCTATCAAGGCTGCCCATAAATGCGCACTAGCTATTGGTAGCTTTAGTAAACCGCACAGATACATGCCAGGAACTGTTGTTCTATGCAAAATCCATCGTTCCCAGAAGATCACTGAAGCAAAGTTAAATTAAGAGTCGTTGTTAAAGTTTACTTAGGTGTTACGCATTGTTGTGTTCTCTAAGATGGCTAGTTTAAGCTAGAATTTTCCATTGCCTTTCTAAACGGTATTTCCATAGTCAACTTGAAAATAATATGAACTTTTGTAACTGATCATCGGTAGCAATAAAGTTCTTCCCTGACGATCTTGATTATGACAGACTGTCTTCGGTCATCACTTTTTTGTCTTATTCCTTCGCTTTTTCGATAGAATATAGGGCTTGGAGCTGAAGCCTTACAAACAAATCTAATCCTTACAAACCAACTCTTGAAAATTAACCTGATGCTTGGTAGTGACTAGCTACAGGATGGAGTCTCCCAGAGTTCTAGTTGGAAGTCGTGACCAGTGAGATCCATCTAGTGTGAGAATGGATGTCCCACTGACGACATTGGTTGGTGGTTTCGCTAAATCACGAATTGGTAGAAGTTTGAATTCATGGGCTGGCCAGTGAATCGGGTCCCGGTGGCTGAATGGTATACGAGCTTGCCCTGTAACCGGAAGGTCCTGATTTCGAATCCCAGAGGGTGCGTACTGCCGATGATTCCCAAACTAGGATGAAACAGCTGACCAGTACTCAAGTGAGGGTTTTCAATGGTTCTCTAAATGATAGCAACCCATGGTTATACTCGTAAAAACAAATCAAGTGCTTACAAACAAACTCTTGAAAATGATAACATAAATAAGAAAGAAAATAAGGCATCTACAGTTTTACCATATAAGGAAGGAACATCTGAGACGTAGGGAGGCTACGTAGGATTCCAAATAAAACAGGAATTAGAGTGGCATCCAAACCTACAAACCCACTCACTTAGGACAAGCTCTGTAGGCTAAATGACTATGTAGGTTGACTGAATTAGACAAAATAATATAATTTACAAAATACCTTACAATGACTGGGAGTTAGGTCAACTACATAGGTCAGTCAAATTAGTAGATCAGGAGTAGTGAAACTATCAATGATAAGAAAACTGGTATTGTTAATGTTCAATGGTGAATTTTAATTTTAGGTATGCACTTTAAATGAGTGAATTCATTATAACAAATGCTTTCAAGTCAGAGAAAAAAGAAACGAAATCTGCCTTCAAAATATGGTGCATTTCGCGCGCTTTTTTTAAGAACTTTATTAAGCGTATAAATGGTGTTTTTCCCTAGGAATATTGGACGAATGTGAACTGATGTTGTGTAGTTAGAGGCGACCAACAGAAAGGCATGAACGCAGGTTTTGTCCATGGCTTGAGACTGGTCAGCAAGGCATACTCGCAATATTGTGTTTAAATCTCCCAAGGGGCATCAGTACCTTAGTTACTCTCTTTTTACCAGTTGATAAATATATATGATTTGCATGTCAGGGGATGACTAAAGCAACCGTCCAGTCCTAGATATTAAACTCATGGGGTTTACAATAGTTATCTAGCTAGGTGACAAAATACTGTCAGACCATATGGTTTTCTATATTAGATTTTGTTTTTCACGATTTGATCACGGATTGATATCAGTTAGAGAACCATTAAAAACCAGCCACAGTGAGTACTAGACAGCTGTTTCACTCTTATCTGGGAATCACAGGCAGTAGGCACCCACTGGCTTTGACATCCTCAGCTGTGTCATCGTCTGTTGTTGAAACGATGACTTTATAATCAAGTTTTTTAGCTAGGACCGACGACACATAAAAGTGAATAATGCACACTGACCGTTCAAGGTAAGATGGTTGAGATGTTTGCCATTTGATCGATACACTTATCTGAATTAGTTACCTGGATGCTCAACTTGGTTGTAAAGCTAAGTAAGCAGTTCCACTGTGGATAAAGTTTTATTTTGATAAAGTCTCACAGTGTTATACAGTAATATTTACTGAGGACAACGTTTAGAGCACAATTTATTATTGCTCAAAGCACTACTCACAAAACTTTCCAGCTTCATTTATTTAAATCGAATATTTCTCATCTCTTGATTTGAGCTTCTCCTACCTGAGTGAGTTTTGGGTTTGAATGCTGCCCTAATTCCTGCTTTTTAGAGAATCATACGTAAGAATTAGGGCGCATTCAAACCTACAAACTCACTCAGTCAGGTAGGACAAGCTCCTTAGATTAAAGGACCCAGTGGGTTGACTCAATTAGACAGAATAATATAATTTATAAAATACCTTACAATGACTGTCAGTGAGGTCAACTACATAGGTCAAAATAGTAGATCAGGAGTAGTGAGATTATCAGAACATAAGAATTTAGCTAAAGGTAGAATGATTGACCCTGAAGAGATAAGTAATTTAGAAAAAAGCTCAGCACTCCATTGCACTGCATGCATTAACACACAACCAAACAACAGAGTGGGAGAGGGTTAAGATTTTAAAAGGGATTATAGGTAGATGGAGAGAGATTGATTACTGAATCTTTGGTCACATAATCTACACTCGACACATGGAATAGGAATTAGTCATCACTAATACCTGAAATATTGAAAATATTACTACCAATCATCAAATCAATAGTGGAACCATACAAATGAAGTAGAAAAATTGTGTGAGTAACTTGACATGTTTATGAGCGGTAATAAATTGTGCTCAAAACTTGGTCATCAGTAAACATAACTGCATAACACTGTGAAACTTTATCAAAATAGATTTTATCCACAATGGTCACACGTATCTTGAATACGCATTTCATCCTACCTGGATGAATTTGCATCTTCCGGAAGTGATAACATTTCCATGGAACGTTGAACTGAGCACTTATTCGTTTCCAATGCCAAATCGGTATCCACTAGCCGCTTTCAGCTAAAAACAACATCATCCTGAGCTTTTAAGCCATCGTCAAAAAGTGTTCTGAGTAAAAGCCAAATAGTTTTTATTCAATATCAAGCAATCAGCAAGAATTACAAAATAAACTTACTGGGATCAGTCACCGTGATCAAGAAACAAGAATTTCCTGCTCTAGTTTGACAGGCAACTTCACATTTTATTGATTTATTCAATACGGGATCTTCTCTTGCCTTCAGGAGTATTTCATTCAAATCATATTTTAAATTAGTATATGTATAGGGATAAGAGTAGGCCAAGTAACAAACATCATCGGCGTAGGGAAATTCCTGGAAGACAACAGAAAAGGCAGTGAAAGGTCGCAATCGTTTAGAAGCCGGAAAGTATTCTTGCATCAGGTTCCTGTTTAGTCTAACATTTATAAACAACTATAAAATACTACAAATGGTACAGCCATCAGAGTGCTCTCAACTGACAGTGTGGATACTTAGATGGCTTACAGCAAAGACTGAGGGGAACATTTCGTCAACGTCAAAAAAACACCCATCATTCAAATTTCGGGCTTTCGACAGATTATGACTAATTCTATGGTAGGTTACGTTAAGAATTGACATCGGTTAAAGCATCATCGGAAACAAAGGAAAAGCTAGACAGCTATCTCATCCCATTTTAGTTCTCTTCAGTAGTGCACACCCATAACTGTATCATTACAGATAGAAGCAAGAAATCTCAGGCTACGAGGCGAGTTCCTTGACTATTGAGCCATCCTGACATAGTCCTCCGGACTACTAATGGCATCATCGAGCATACACTGCATACCTGACATGATTCAACCCATCATCCTTGACGTCTCATGAACAAAATGAGTGATATTCAGATTTTGGTTTTCATAAAGCTTTTGTCGTGGACCAATATCACAGATGTAATAAATATGTTCAAACCAAGTTCACTTTTAACAGTTTGAAAAAAATTTGGGCAATGGGTATATGATATCTATTATAATAAAGGTTTTTTATATTTGCCAATGAATGAAAAACAAAACGATTATAATCATAGATGTAATTATAAAAATTCACAATGACAAGTGTTCAAAAATCATGTTTTCCAATAGCCGTCTGAGCTAAAATGATCCTCCAACACTTAAAGGATTAGATCTTCTTCGGGCTTTACTCTAATTTATATAGATTTACATATAAACATTTTAACCAATGACGGTGACTTTGTGGATCAAATAATAATAATAATGTGGTAAATGTTTTGAACGTCATTAATAACGATGATTATAATGATAACAAAATAATGACAGTACGTTTTCAAGAGAATGGTTTGTAAGGACTAGATTTGTTTATTCGAGTTTGACCATGAACTGATATCAGTTAGAGAACCATTGAAAACCAGGGAGTACTGGACAGCCAGCTGTTTCATCCTAGTTCTAGTGAGAAGTCGTGACCAGTGTGGTTCATCCAGCCACGTTTGAGGGTGGATGTCCCACCGATGACATTGGTTGGGATCGCGCTAAATCATGAATTGGTAGAAGTTAGAATTCATGGGCTGGCCATTAAATCGGGTCCCAGTGGCTTAATGTTATACGAGCTTGCCTTGTAAGTGAAAGGTCCTGGTATGAACTCAGGCGGTGTATGTGAACTGCCGATGATTTCCAAAACTAGGATGAAACAGCTGTCCAGTACTCTCTGTGGCTGGTTTTCAGTGGTTCTCTTGCTGATATCAATCCGTGAACAACTCGTAAAAACACATAGTTTAGGATGTATGTGATTAATTCAAAATGCTTCCATTACCTTCAGTAACCAACCTTGAATTTGAGTTATGGGATGAAATAATTGTGAAACAGTCATTAATATTGATTTTGTGACCTGACATTAATTAATAAGTGCTTTGCAATGGATGATGATGGATTTCTATTCAGATTAATAATTGCTTTGGGATTTTTTATGTTTCTTAATAACCACTTTGGAACATGTTGTCTTCGACGACCACATTGAAGGTGATGGAAGCACTTTTGGGGACTAATCACATACATCCTATACTATCTGTGTGTACAAAAACAGCAGACTTCAACCTTCTTTTGCCTACCATGGACTACTTGACCTACTTAAATATGACTGGTCATCAGTATGTACTTTTGTTTTATTTATATATCTGAGTAAATGTCATGCATTTTACTTTATTATTGTGAAGCATGTTAGTTGTGTAAAGCGATTGTAAAGAAACTATGAAATGACGATATCATCTCTCTCGAAATTTGTCTTCTAAATGCCTTATTCAAATCATTCATCTGACAAGAACTGAAGAAATTTGATGACATCATTTTGTTCCCGTCTTGTTCGAGTTTAGAGAGAAAAGAACAAGAAGTTCAGCAAACTGATATCTATCTTTTCGCCGATTTCATTCTCAAAAGTAGCTGTACAATCACATTTATATACATTAGTTTACATTGATACAATTATTACTTATTTAATTCCACATAATAACGAAGTAGATTAAGGGTCACAATAATTTTCAACTTGACATTAAAGTTTAAAGGTGTGGATATAGATCAGAAACAATATTATACAGGATTATAAAAGGAATATGCCAGTTGGACAAACATCTTGAGAAATCAAAATCAGAAGAAATGAACAGTGTAGAGAATCTGTTCGACCATTGAGAAATCCAGTTAGTGAACTACAAAAGCTTGAAAAATCATCAACTGTAGCTCGTCTACACGTTATAGAATCAGGTCACAAAATTGATTTTGACAATATTGAAATTATCCAGAAAAATTCCAGGAATCACAAAGAACGTCTCACATCATTGGAAGCACTTCATATCAAATGGAATCCAAATTATCTGAATAAGAATGATGAAATGAAACAGAATTTGACCTGGTTACAACACCTCCCTCCCCCCCCCCTCACGAAGTGGCGAAATCAACACGAATGTGATAAGCAATGTCATCGTGTAAACACACGCTGTTCTTATCAAATTCAACAGTCTACACCTGATTTGTTATCTTCACCAATTAGCCAATTTGACAACGAAAAATGACCCCATGCTGAGGAACGATAATCAAGTTGGTAAACTTTGTTTTGATACCATAACAGATGTACTATTACCTTTGTTATTTGGTTTAGTGATCTCCATTGTTATTTTGACCTTCAAAATATGTCCCTTTAACTTGACCTAAGTCTATTTTCTCACCTATTAACTCTTTGTTATATATATGCTGAGATTTTGTAAATTCTGGTTTAATAATACTACTTTGATAAAGGTATTAGCAGCACCATTGAATAGCGAAACATCAGAAAAAACATAATATGGTTCTGTTTTTCATTCATTGGGAAATACAAGAAAACTTTTATTACAGTGAATATCATATACCCAATGCCCAAATTTTTTCAAACTGTTAAAAGTGAACTTGGTTTGGACATATGGAATATGCCACTCACTAAAATAATTTGTTTCCTTTGTAAATATGTGGATGACAAGAATCTGAGCATCGGCAAACCGGCGTCACATCTGAAAGAGTCTTTACTAAGATAAACATTTAATGTACAATTTACATTCAATGATGTTATCTGCAGACGGGAAGAAAGGATTGTCATGGGCTTTCCCCTTGGCCCATTTCTGGCAGATTGCTTTATGGCCAGCTTGGAAAATGGGATCTTAAAATCAACAATGGACAAATTGCCGCTGTACAAAAAAGTAAGTCGATGACACTTTTTATAGTTTGTCGTGATGATTCTGATTTAAATTGCATCTTACAGGAGCTTAACAAATGCCATCCTTCAATTAAATTCACAATAAAAGTTGGAAATCAATCAAAGATTCTATTTTTGGACGTCGAAATGACAAGCAGAGATGATGAAACTCTAAAAAGATCTACCCACAGAAAACCATTATGGAATAGCCAACTGACAAACTTCTCCAGTTGGATGCCTATCAGTCGAAAAAGAGTTCTCATCGTCTTCCTGGCCCACCGGTGACTCCTTAGAAGAAGAGCTTCTATTTCTACAAAACACATCCTGGCTCAAAATGGATACCCAACGCCTTTCTTGCAGAGGAACATGAAACCAAAGACAAAAAGGGAAGAATGCACTTCAATGCCAAAGAAAACACTATGTTTGAATCTGGGATCCAGAGGAGACCTAGCTGCAGGCATCTTTAGTAGCAGAATCACTAGTTCCCTAAAGAAGACCTTTCCTGAAGCAACTCTAAGAGTGATATTTTCCAACCACCCATTGCTTAGAAGCAATGTGAAGAACAGACTTCTGCATATGACCACTTCAGTGTGCATATATCTGTAACGACAGAAGATAAGGGCCAGGCAGCAGATTGTTTACTGAAGAAATCAACAGATATTTATATATTTTTATGTACATTATTATTCGTTATTACTAGCAGAGAAATAGCGTCTTCTAATTGCTTGTTTTCTCTCTGAAAGTTAATCTGTCATCTCTTTGTGGCTGCGAATCTGCAAATCGTATCCGCCCACGCAAAGTCTTTGTTCTTGTTTTTCTCATAACCGAGATTTGGGAAGTAAACATTGACGTATATTTCTGTCTACCAATTATGGCTAGTAGACAGCTCTCACCACATATCAGTTCACCTGCTCATATGGAGCTAGGTAAATAGGTTGTTCTATGCAGGTCTTATCAGAATGTGTTAGGGAACATCATCCAACATGGCTGCAAAGAGAAGGAACTGGTTCAGTCAAAAGAGCCATAACTGAACACCTCGTCGACCAACACCTACCTGTCATGGTATCTCAACTGACTTATCATTCAGAGGTATTTACAAAGTAAGCAAAAATCTACCAAAGGCAGTGTGTTTCCGACTTCTTTGTACTACTGAACAGAAGCCTTCGTCATATGCATCGAAAGATCGGAGCTGTATGTTCAAAATAAACTGGTTCAACCCCCATATTTACCATGGATCTAGTTCATTTTTTCACCCTCTTCACTTTCAGTTTTTAAAATATTATTCTCTCAACTTTTTCCCGTACTAATTCCATTCACACCTTTAGTTGTTAAAAAAAAACTATTTTCTAATCCTACGTAATCTTGTCTGTAAGTCCTACGTAATCTACATTCACACCTTCAAACTTTGATGTCAGGTTGAAAATTATTGTGACCTTTAATCACCTTCGTAATTATGTGGAATTAAATAAATAATAATTGCATCTATGACGACTTATGTAATATAAATGAGATTGTACAGCTGCTTTTGAGAATGAAATCGCCTTAAAGATACTTCTGTCTGCTGAACTTCTTATTCTTTTCTCCCTAATGTGTCCCTATGGGTTTTTCCACGATTTGTTCGAGTTTATCAAGGGAAATAATTGTGTAATATTATTAATTAGCTATCTGTACAATTCAACTATCTAGTCATTGAGCTGAAATCAAGTCAAAAACGGATAACAGGGTATAAAACTCACCATATCCCATTCCAACTGGTAGTATTCTCCATTTGTGTCAAGTAAATGATTCGACAGATTTTTTGTATTACGTGAATATCTAAGGCAAACAAAAGCATGCAATTAAACAAAATCCCTACCAAACCAATACTTGAAAAGCAGAAGAGTAGTCTCTTTTATTTATGCAAATCTGTTACGTGTGACAACTGATTTGCATTTCATAATAAGTTTTTAACAATAAGTCAACGTTGTATTAATTTGTTCATTAGATATATCACACAGTGATTGAAACAGTATTATTATTCACTGGATGGCGAAGTTTCGAACACAGTTTATTACTGTTCGTAATGATATCATCAACTATAAGTATACAACTTAGAAAACTAAGTTTTATACTTTTCTTTATTCTTTCCTATTCGTCGTCGTAGGAGTAGTAGTAGAATCTTCCAGTTGTCCGGATGGACAGAAGTTGAATCATCCCAGTTACACGTGTCTGAAGTTGATTCGATAAACAAAGCTTCCGTTATCAATCTCTACCTCCACCCCATGACATTAGATTTTAAAACTGTCATCTTATCCCATCCAGCCTATTGTATGGTTGTGTGTAACTGCATGCAATGAGTGGTATGGCTGAATTATTCTCTAGATTTCTCATCTCATTAGGGTCAACTAATCTAGATTTGGCTGCTAGGTTTTTGTGCCCTACTAGTCTGACTGACTGACCCCGTTCTACTAATTTGACCTATGTATTTGACCTGACATTCATTACAGGGTTTAACTGACTCCACAGGATTGATCCTTTAACCGACAAAACTTGTTGAGTTTGTGGGGTGATTGAATGCCAGCCACTTTAATTCCTGCCTTGTTAAGAATTCTGCGTAAGGTTTCCAAGCTTCCTTCTTTGTATGGAAGTACTACTGATGATTTAGATTCCTTATTGCTGGTACTGTCATTATCCTGTGCATGTTTGATATACATGTCGTCATTAATATTACTACTATCACTATCACTACTTATTTTATTTTTAAATTTCCCTACATATTTCCTGACTAATTTATCAGGGAAATTATTAAGTTTCAAGGCCTCTCTTATATGTATCACTTCCTGTCTTAGATTTTCCTTGGTACTACTAATTTTTGTGCTCCGTCACTTAAACATTTCACCAATCCTATTTTCACTGACATAGGATGGGATGATTGGAAATCCAAATATCGATTTGAATCTGTAGGATTCCCGTAATCCCTGGTGTTTAACTTCCCATCTTCTTTCCTTTTTATAATAATAATAATCACTTTATTCCACAACAATAACAATTTACAGCATGGAATTTTCAGCGTTTGTTTTACATACTGCAATGGTTTAGCTCTGTTTATAATTATATAATTGTATAAAATTTTAAAAATATTGATAGTTAATAGGAAAAAATAAAAGCCCCAACAAAATCACACCTTTGCTAGGTCATAGTGAATAATAAATAAATAATATAACAAATAACACATGCAATAATATGCATCATTACATTTTATAGTTTAGTTAATGATTTAAAAGTTGTAAAAGTTCTTTTCTGATATTCGTCTCTTCACACAATACTCGTGCCAAATATGATACGGTCGAATTTTTATATTTTGTAGTACGAGCATAAATGTTTATGAAATTTCTTCTGGTCTTACCCGAAGAGATACAAGGAAACAATTGTGAATAAAGAGGATGTTCACTATCAGACAAGATAACTTTAGCTAAGTGTTTACAAGAATTCATATGCCTATTGACAACAGTGTCAGTTAGTTGAGTCAAAGGGATAGCACTGACCCTACTTACAGCCTTCAATGTTCTTCGTAGTATTATATGGTCTTTCTTGAGTAGCCCAGGAAGGAATAATGGAGAACAATAAAGAATGATGGGCAAAACACATGAATTAATAAATTGTATGAGAAGAGATTGGGTTATACCTGAGTGCCTCAACTTCTTTATGTAATAAGTCAGACGGAAAACTTTCGTAGAAACTATAAGAATGTGAGACGACCAGCAAAGGTTTGAAGAGAAACTTATGCCAAGATAAGAAACACTTGACTTACTCTTTATCATGGTACCATCAATATTACAACAATCATGAGATTGAATCAATCCATGTATGTCTTTTTCACTTCTCAAGCTGAAATCAACAGTATTACATTTAGTTGGATTTAGTTTAAGACCATTTGAGCCAGACCAATCCTTAACTTCAGCTAAGAAGCCATTCATATGGGAACAATCCGATGTGGAAACTACAGGAACAGAAACGGTCAGATCATCAGCATACTAAAATCTAACAGTGGAAGCTCCCCTTTCTGACTTTCAATTTCTAAGTGAAGTGTATTGCCCCTACCTTCGAGTTAATGTGTTCGAAAAATCTATCTATATCCTGTGCTCTAAGTACAGTGAATGTGTCATCTGCATACCACAACCATACTTTTGGAGTGGGGCTGAACGTTCCCATCGATAAGTTTTCCCACACAAATATTGATAAGTTAAAACAACTATCAAGAACAAAGGACAACATGAATATTATTCACAATCTATGCTCTCATTTTGACCCCGATCGATTTCCACTTAGAAGTAGAACATGGAAAGCTTTCCTCGTCGAAATCATGTATTGTTTGTCTTTTTATCATGTGATTGGCAAAATACTCAAGAATTGAACCAATGGTTCGTCTAGTCTCTCTATTTGACTGCAATGTTGGAAGATGGTCTTATGTATATCAATTGATATTTCCATAGCCTTTTAAAACATTATTATTATTATTACTCCCATGGGCTCCCAGTGGAATATAGGGCTTCAGCAACACATATCCACTCTCTTTTATTTTTATTGTCATCTTTAGCTAGGTCCATGACTGCCTATAATCTCTCATCTCCTCCTCCAACTCGCAAGATCTCCTCCATGTCACCCTCGCGCTGATTACTCACTCATCACTTCACATTCTTATTCTTGCTTCCATCGAGAGAAGACAAATCGGCTGGCTGACTGGTTTTCCTAAGCCTGGCTTTCACCAGGGCCCGTCAATTCTCCTCTTCGATTCCAGCGAAGAATAATTTTGTTTTTTATATTTTTCAAATCACGGAATATACACATTTGATCATAGGGAATAATAAAAATACAGTTGCAGCGAAGAAAATTTTCTTTTCGACACAAGCCTACGACTGACGTTTTCCTGCAAGAAACTGTTCAACCAAAAATCTTAAGACAAGCTGTCACATTGGGACACTTCAACGTGCATATACCAGTTTACTTGCTCTTGCGGAACTGAGTACATTGGCCGTACCATGCGCCAACTTGAAAAACGCACCCGTGAACACTATGCAGCCTGGCTAGTAAAATGAGAACGAAAATGTGTACATAGTTCAGTGACAGAACATCCAGTCAATTCAGGACATTCAGTGCCACTCGAAAAATCCTTCAAAATAATGTACAAGACTCGATCAAACCTATCAAAGGGAGTAGAATTGAGATATCTGGGCATAGCCGAGGCACTAGCCATCCAAAAGCTCAAACCCACGCTATGTATCCAAAAGAAATACGTCCAACCCTTGTCCTTGCCTTGGTCATCATAAACAGGTACTTCTTTTAATAGTGATTATCCCATTGCATTTCTTATCCAAACTTCCTGTTTATTCATGTTATAATTTCTACATTTCTAACCCCTGATTGCACAATATGTCAATCTTCTCAGTAATAATGATGCTACTTTGTCTGAGCTTTATCCGACCCCCTGTTTATTATGGCATTCTAATTCCTAATTGTGATTTTATTAATTTGACCCTTGACCGGAAATTATTCTGGAACTTTCCCACTCATTTATTATAAATACACGAATGTATAGCCTAGTTGATGTTGACTTCGTCGAAAAGAAAATTTTCTTCGCTGCAACTCTCTTTTGTTTTATATTTTTTGTATTTTTAATATTTTTTTGTTCATTTGCATTGAAGTTTCTGTAGCAGTTTGATTGGTTTTGTGGGGTAGGTTCGCTAGTCTGACACCCAACTCTCCATCTTTACCCGGGCCTAGAACCGCCCAATAAACTAGGCTAGGTTTTTAAAACACAATTAAACACAATAAAGTCACTTTTAATTTATGTAAAATAGATTATTATAGTTATATTATACATCGCTTATTTATATAACCTGAATAAATTTGTGCAAGTCTATGTTGCCTGCTAATTCACCAGGAGAATAAATAAGTTACTTTTAAAAACAAATGGATATTCTGATTAGTCGTGAAGGTGAAATAAACAGTGCAAGTTTATAAAAGAGCTGCTTCTTAGTTTCCATGAATTTACTAAAGTGGTGATCGTTCAGTCAGTGTCACAGACAGAAACTCCCACCTATACAGCTAAGTGGTTCTGATGATCTTTGCGCTTTAACTTTTATCAGTACAGCTGCATCACAGAGAACGATTTTTGACCATGTCAGCCACAGTCTGCAACGACTGAATCTCATCAGCCCTAAGAACACCGTTTAGCAGTCGATAACCCCACACACCACTAGTCAAAGACCTTACTAATAGGTTCCATGTTTTCATCTGACCATCCCTAATTGCTTTCAGACCGGTGCTGCATTGCATCGGTGGCATAGTGGTTAGGACGCTCGCCGACCATGCACATGGTCCGGGGTTCGATCCCCGGCCGACGCACTCCTTTACCTCTCTAAGCCGGAAATAATGCTGGTAAAGAGGAAAGGTTTGGCATGAGGCTAGCAACCCCATCCTGTAAAAATAAACACTGCTACAGAAACTTCAAGCCTCTAGCTTGAAGCCCTATGTTCCACCGGGGAACATGAAGGGATAAAAAAAATTGCATTTCCTGTCGGCAAATACTTTAGCTCAGCATGCGTAGAGTATGTCCTAGCTACCGCAATCGAAGGAGTTTTGCAGCCTCATCCGTAGGCTTTTCTTCGTTACCTAACACTAAACCTCTTACATCAATTTTACTAACTGTATCTCTCCAGTGAACATAATAAATTGAATAGAAATACTTATGATAAAAATCCACTAATGGTTTCATACTCTTCATTTTCACACAGTACTCTATAGCTGTGTAATGAAGTTAAGAAGAGAATGTTCTTTACTAACCTCTTTTTTTCCGATTTTATTGTTTCCTCATTAGAAGTGAATGTTACGCTGCATCTTGAGTTGCATTTGAAACTGATAACATACTCACGGCTGAACCACAGTAAGCATTTTCGCCCTCCTAGTGAGATTTGATAGCAGAACCTACTGTTTAAATCATGTGATCGACATTTTCAACACTGATAGGAGTTCCGTCAGTCCTTCTATGCAATTCAGAGACTTAGTGCGTCACGAACACTCTGCTGCAGACTTTCATCGATAGATGACATTGCTTCATATTGAAGATCTGAAGCTCAGTGAGAAAGGCTAAACGATATGAATTTCTGACTGGCAACGAACTAACCAAGAAGCTATCGCCCAACAAACATGTCGAAGAAAAAAAAAGGAGATGGATCGGACACATACTGAGAAGACCGTTGAACACTATCACGCTCCAGGCTGTAGAGTGAAACCTGAATGCGAAACAACGAGTTCATATGACGAGGACATGAAAGCTAATGGGAGTTCGTGGAACCAACTAGACAAGAGTTCAGAGAACTGTATGAAAAAGAGATGTTCTGATGAAGCCGCGTTTCCCACACGGAAGCCAAGGGAATAATAAGAATAATAAAAGAAAGCCAACATGCGATGTAGATTCATCCGTTTAATATGTTTTGATTGGGGTGTAGATGTAAGTCTAGGGTTTCACTGCAAACTGTCAACAAACATATAGAAAAATACAGAATATAAAGGCTTATTAAAGCTTTTGTTCCAGGAGCTTCTTTTTATTCCTTTACGTTCCCAGTGGAACACTGGGGTTCAAGCTAGAGCGTTAAAGTTTCGGTAGCAGTGGTGTTTACGTTTATGGGATGGGATTGTAGCCTCATATCTAACCTTTCCTCTCTACCAGTCTTACTACTGGCTTAGTGAGGTAAAGGAATGTGTCGACCGAGGATCAAACCCCGAACCACATGAGGCTTGGTTGTCGAGCATTCTACTGTTGTGCCACCGACGCCCTCTAGGAGCTAATAGACCAAAAATGAATCCCTCCAATGATATACAGTTATTCAATCAACAGAAACAAAGAACCTACTTAATATTCCTTCCAACACGTATCCACTTCGTCGCATTCTGTTGAGTATTGATTTTAGAATAAAGTAAAGGTTGTAAACCTGTATGAATAGAAAGAATTCCCTCATTATGTTTTTTTATGAATATCAGTAAACTTCATTAAAAACTATGAATTTCCTAAACAGATTTTATCACCTCACCATAAAAAACAGTGACTTCAGAAGTATATCGTCTTGAAGATGATATCAGATCCAATAGCATAAGAAGTTGTACAACACATATCCACTTGTTGTAACTAGATATAAGAAAAATTCAATTTTCAAGTATTGGTTTTGTAGGGATTGTGTTTGATTGGTTGCGGCGTTTCATCATGAGCTGACATCAGTTAAAGAACCATTGGAAAATCCACCTGGGAGTACTGGACAGTCGACTGTTTCGTTAGCCTAGTTTGGGACTCTTCAGCAGTACGTATCCACCTCACTGCCGAGGTTCGAACCCTCGACCTTCTGGTCACAAGGCTAGAGAGTTCGCAGACCACTGGGCCTCTGTGACCTGATCCAGTGGCCAGTCCATGAATTCCAACCTCTGCCAATTCACAACATAGCACAACCTTTTCGCAATGGGGTTCTAGTGTGAAGTGGTTACCAGTAGGGTACAACAGGTTGAAGGTGAGGCAGTAACTCATCGAAGAAGACATTGCCAAATGGTCCCTCTATGTCATGAATTGGCAGAAGTTGGAATTCACGGATTGGTCATTGGATCGGGTCCCAGTGGCTGCTGAATGGTCCACGAGCTCGCTATCCTTGTGACTGGAATGTCCTGGGTTCGAACCCCAGTGGGTTGGGTGCGTACAGCGAAGAGTCCCAAACTAGGCTGACGAAACAGTTGGCTGTCCAGTACTTCCAGGAGAGTTCTCCAGTAGTTCTCTAACTGATGTCAGCCCATGATGAAACCCTCCAACCTAAAATTCAATTTGTTGAGTGATATTATTTGTCATACCTTGACTTACAGTGGATTCAAACCTAAGATGTCCACTTTGAATGTTTCGAGAGATGCCTTACAATTTTATTCAGAACATTGTTTACTCTCAGTGATGGCGCTATCTTTATGACTACTTCACAGCGGTAAAGTGACGTTTTGACTGATGTTGAAAGTTTCGATTACAAATACATTGTTACTAGTATAGTGATTTATTATTAATCTTTTAGGTTCCAAGTTGAAAATAGGGCTTCAACAGCACACCTTCCTTTCAATCAGTTCTCTGCAGTCCTCTTCAACTGGCTTAATGACTGCTCATAAGCTCTCACTTTCTCCTGACACAATCTCCTCCATGTCACCCTCCAAGCGACACCCAACTCGTCTTTTCCTATTTGGGTCCAACTCAAGAGTTTTCCCAGCTCGTAACCTCACTCATTGGTCTCCTCAGCATATGTCTAATCCATGATCACTTTCTGCAGCATATTTACTGAGCAGCAGGTCCATGTTTAGTTGGTTCGTTGCATGTCATAGTTTCCTGTCGCTTATCGTTTTAATCCATCTGGTCTTCAGGATGGGGCAAAGGGGGCTACTGTTGATTAAGGTATGCAGTCTGCTTGAAAGGCTTTTCAGAGAAGAAATACTCTCAACTGACATTTCTTTCTACAGATCTATGCAGTAAATATTTATCCTTAAGCCAGAACCAAAAATAGTTTCACAAATATTTCATTAGTCTTGGGGGTCGTGGGAGAAGATAGAAGAAATTCATGAATTCACTTGACCCTTAACCATTTTGCCTCCAACGATCATTTTGTTTACATGTGCTAATGAAGAGACGTTGTGGACAGTTGGATTTTCAAGGGATAACAGTGTGGTTAAAGTGTTCTTAATGTGATTGTGTATTTCTAAAATTCTTTCTATGCTATCGTTAATATAAACATCAGTTAACAGCCGTAGGATTTAAATTCTCTCTTAACTATAATTCTGTAACTTAAACCAGTTTTTAAGGGAACTGATTTTATACTGTGCCTTTTCACAAAAATCCATGACACTAGCTTCATCCTATGTAGGACTAGTCAGTTAGATGGACCTACTCTCAAATCAATGATGGTGTCCCCAGTAAAAGACAAACTAAACACACATAAATTCAAATATAGAAGTGATATCCACTTAACTACTGAACCACAAACACCACTTCTTGTAATTTTATTATTTATTATTGTTTCCTTTAGTTCCTATAGGAACATAGGGCTTCGGCCGCACGTCTCCATTGCATCCGGTTCTCTGCCAACGTTTTCACCAGGCTCCATGTCTGCTCACATGCTTTCATCTCCTCTTCGCATCACATCTACCTCCATGTCACCCTCGAACTAACGACCAACTCGCCGCTTCCCATTCAGCCAGGTTCCACACGAGCAATGGCCTGGCTCGTGATGTTACTTTATGGTTTCCTCAGAGTATGGCCACCAATCAATCCACCTCCATTTCTTCCTACATATTTGTTGTGCACAATTGGTTCCTACTGGGTTGGTTCACTCATTGCCAGAGATCCCTCTCTGTTGCTGATCTTTTCTGGCCGGCCATCTGATCTTGAGTGGTATTGAGCGAAGACAGCTGTTGATGAAAGTCTGTAGTTCGTTCGAAGTGCTCTTCGTGAGGTGGCGTGGCTCCAAGTCTCTCATCCGCACAGTAAGTAGCACTGACTTCACATTAGAGTTGAAAATCCAGATCTTATTTTTCATGCTGAGTAGTTCTGCTGATCTCCTGACAGACTTGAGAGAAATGAAAACTTGCCTTGCTTTCCCGATCCTCGCGCTTTGATATCCTCATCAGTCCCGTCCTCCTGTAGATGAAACGACACTTTCCAGGTAGGTGGATAGGTATAGGAGATCGCTTCTTTTAGATTTCTCCCATTTATGCTGATTGTTGCCTGTTGTTGTTGCTGTTGCTGTTGGCCAGGAATCTCCATCACCTCTGCTTTCTCTATGTTCACCTGAAGTCCGCTCTTCTGTGGATGCTTCTTCTGCCAACTTGCTGCTTTTCACTTGCATATCTTCCAGTGTTTGTGGGAAATCAGACATGTATCACCGGCGAAATCTTGTATTACATGTACGATTTGAAGTTATATACTAATACTTGTGATCGCCGAAAAGATATCTTTGCTGCACTTCTTGTTCTTTTCCCCCTACTTGTGATTTCTCGTTGAAACAGAATTTATTAAACATTCTATTACGTAATATTTTGGAATAAAATGGGATATCTAATTGAGAGAAATAAATTTACAGATTATCTTTCCGATTTTATCATTCAATCTTGTTTAGTGAATACAGCTCAATAACCAACCTCGTATAAACTAACCTTGTGAGTATAAACTTGTCGGTTTTGTAAAGTTAACAATTAGAAATGAGTATGTGAAACCAGGTAGAGCATTTTGTACAGAGAAGAAATACCACTGAACATGTCGTTTTGTATATAAATCTGGTTTCAATAATAATTCATAATGAAATGGTCCGCTGAATAAAAAATGAAACAGACGGTTACGTAATAAACACAACGAGAGAATATTGTTTTAACAAACCAATTAAAAAGGCTTTAATAAGCTGGAATACTGTAAAAGTTATCTGGTTTAAAAGAGACCACGAAATTATTTCATTTAGAGGACCATTGAAAACCGGGGGGTTATGAACAATTATTTCGTCCCTGTTTGGGACTCTTCAAAGTACGCATCTGGGACCTTAAGGACACAAGGCTAGTCTATTTACCATTCATCCACTCGGGAAGAAATCCAGTGGCTCATCATTTTCAACTTCTGCCATTTCGCGATGTATGTCATTAGCGAGTATTTTTCCTCACACTTAATCTAATGAAAACCGTTGGCCACGACTTTCCGCTAGAATTTCCAGGTCAATTCATCCTGTAATCACTCACTAGTGAACAATAGATGAATTTTTAAGTATTCACCATCAGGGATTTGATTAACAGCGTTCCCTGCTTTTCAGTGTCTCATAAACTGAAGTCAATCCGTGACCAATAATGAAACCAATCAAATGTCCGTGAAACAACACTTGAAAGTTATGTGATTTAGTTGATATACTGGTTTTATTATCAAACCATTCTTATTCCTTCCTTAATTTCCTAGCAGGATACGTGATTTTAGCGCGCGTGTTCTCTGCCATCATCTGGCTCGACGACTACTGACAAGCTTAAACTTCTTCACCAGACGGTCTTATCCGTATCACCCTTAGACACTCAACTCGTCGCTTCCCATTTACCTTCAGCTTGACAGACTGACGTGTGATTTCGCTTGAATGTCTCTGTAGAGTATGTCCAATCCATCAAAGCTTCCTTCTGTATAACATGACGATACATACCACTGGTTGGTATATGTAATCGGTAAGTATTCACACCAACTAATAGTGCTTTAAATCCAAATCGAAGTGATTCTCGTTTGTGGCCAAGCTAATCAGAAGTGTGCTTATTTTGACTCAACTCAAAGAGCCGAATAAGTTATAACCACTTGAATTCTAATTAGCTGCATAGGCATAGACGTATCTTCTTTGGATACTACTTAATTAAGAATTAAAGTATGCTAATTGTAAATTTCAAAGATAATCATGAAAATCAAAGTCTGGAGTATTTAGTTATTATGATAAATTATTAATTATCATTATTGTTATTATTAATTTTAGTCCTCACAGTAAACAGTTTCTTCAGATTTAATTGGTGGATGGTGACTAGCAGCGGAATCCAGGATAACGCGCATTTCACCGTATTAGGGACTGTTCCTCCAGCTGGATGTACCTGCATTCTCCAGTGAGTGATGATTTCCCCAACGAGGCTCGAACCAAGTGCCCATAGTTTCGAACGCCAAAGCGTTATCCACTAGACCACTTGGGCCACGAAAGCCACCTCTTGTCCCAAATAGGACTAAAATGCGCATCCTGGATTCCACTGCTAGTCACCATCCACGAACTAACTCCTAATTACATGCCCAGACATCGTCGAAACATCTGCACAAGAAGCCTACATGTCAACCTGAGACCGAGCACTTCGGTCCAATCAATCGGCTGGAAAATCTAGAATTCAATTAAGGTTTCTTCAGATGTTAGATCCTTTTTCAAATTTTCTTTGTTTGAAGATACGGTTAATCTCAATACAGACTTTCGTAGACTTATTGGACCCTTCCGCATGACATGAACTGTAAAATATACACTGAAGTTACTGTTGTCCGCGGAAACGTCAAATTCAGGACCCTAATGCTGGAGACTTCAGTGTGTGTTTACCAGTTTACTTGCTCTTAAAGGAGTTAAGTACACAAACCACATCAGCACGATATTGTCTAGATGTGCTCATGAAAACCTACCAGCACTTTTGTTGAAAGTAGAACTTAGAACAATCAGCAGATGAGTTCTAGAGTACACTATTATTTTTGGTAATTCAGCATCGATTGACTTCTTTCAAAGTCATTCAAAAAGTAAGATGAAGCTGGTGAAAAAGATTCCGTTTACATCTTGATGCAGTCTAAGTTCTAATAGTTCGTACGGACAAATCTGAAGTTTATTTTCAGAAATATATATTATCCAGCTTCAGTTACTACCATGACTTCATTGACAATTTTATTCTCTTAACTCGTTGCATAGTAAACTACACTTGGATTTTTGTGGCTCACTTCCATTTCTTTCTGTTTGCGTTTCCTATCAATCACTTGCAATTAAGTACCCACTATTTATTTAGTGAGTTGTACAGATTCTCGGTTACATAAGAGTTGTCATTATTTTTCATATGCTACTATTTCTCATGCATTTTGATTTACATTTGTTAGTAACACACAATAACCTCTGACCCATACTGGTAATTAACAGTGTACAGATAAACCCCTAGATTGGAACAAACTAGATTTAGGAAAGGCGAACCATATGCTGAGCAAATTGCAACTCTACGCATCGTCATCACAGAACAAAGCATAGAATGGCAGTCAGCTCTATCTCTATCTCAACTTCATCGAATTCGAAGACGCATTCAACAGCATTGATCGAGAAATGGTTTGGAAACTACTTCATCACTACGGTGTGCAGTGCGCAAGTCTTTATCAACTTCATTCAACAGCTGGCTATATAACAATGCCTGCCAAGTGTCAGGTGATCCACAACAGAAACTCACCAAAGCCTTTCATCAAGTGAATACAGGTGAAAGACAAGTTGATTGTCTGCCTAGTTTCACCGACGATGATATTCTTAATTGTGATGGACTGGATAATGTGGAAGACTGTGTACATAGAATGAGAAGACAGGAATACGCTGTACTCACTGATAAGATCCTACAAAATTTGGATTTCGCAAACTATTTATGTCTAACATCGCATGAATTCCAGTAATTGCAAGCGAAAACCAACAAACTGGCAGAAGCGAGGTAGGCAGTGAAGACAGGATTCCAGGTGAACATTGAGAAGATGGAGGTGATGAAGATAACCAACCAACCAACAGCAGTAAGAACAACAGAAACCAGCACCAATGATCACCAACGGGAGAGATTCGACAGAGGTCACTCCCTTCACTTTTCTCGCTAGGCGGCATCGTCTTAATCACAGGTGGAATGCATGAAGATATCAAATCCAATCAGAAAGGACTGGAAAGGCAAAATACACCTTCATCAACCTGAGACTAGTTTCGAAGTCTTCTGCAATCTGTCAACCAGCAAAAGGAACAAGATTCGGATTCTGTTCAACATAAATGTGAAGTCAGTCAGTTGGTGCTTCTATGTAGGTTAGAAATTTCCACTGCGTGTGCATCAAGAAAAGCATTTCCAATAACCAGCTACAGACTTTTATCAACAACTGCCTTCTTCACTGACTCATTCCTGAAGATCGAATGGCAGGTTAACCAGCCGGCCGGCCAACCAGGAAAAATTAGCAACAAAAAAACACTGCAGTGGAACAAACCAACAGGTTAAAGCCGGTTCCTCAACAAATATGTAGGATAAAGTAAAGATGGATTGATCAGGCATACGTCACCGAAGAGGCCATCGAATGACATGGTGCTCAATGCCGGCCATTGGTCGAGTGGAAAGTGAATGTGAAGCGATGATTGGGTTGCCATTGCGAGAGTGAAATGGAGAACATCCTCTGAGGAAGAGGAGGAAATGAGAGATTATGAGTAATCGTGGAGCTAGCCAGCTGAAGAGGACCGCAGAGAATGGGAAAAAGTGGAGATGTTTTGTTTAAGCCCACCTGTGTTCCACTCGGAACCTAAAGCAGTTATTATTATTATTGTTCCCTTGGGTTCCTAGTGGAACATGGGGCTTCAGCTACACGTCTCCACTTGCTTCTGTCTTCTGCTGTACTTTTCACCTGCGTCCATGTTAGTCCATACTGTTTCAGCTCCTCTTCACACGATCTCCTCCATGTCGCCCTTGGACGTCCCACTCGTCGCTTCCCTTTCGGGTTCCACTCGAGCACTGGCCTGACGCGCGATGTCACCCAGCGGCCTCCTCAACGAGTGTCCAATCCATCTCCACTTTCTCCTGCATATTTGTTGGGCGATTGGCTCTTATTTTGTTTGCTCCCATAGCTTCTTGTTGGTGATTCTTTCCGGCCATCTGATCTTCAGTATAGAGCCAGCGAAGACAGTTGTTGATAAAGGTCTGCAACAGGCTGTTGGAAATATTCTTGGTGACCCGCCAAGTTTCTGATCCATCCGTATAGAAGAACTGACTGACTTGACGTTTGTATTGAAGATCCGAATTTTGTTGTTGATGCAGGCTGAGTGACGAAGATTTCCAGATTGGATTCAGGTTGATGAATGTGTTTCTCGCCTTCCCAATTCTCGATTTGACATCCTCGTCCGTTCCTCCTGTAGTTGAGACAATGCTCCCTAGCTAGATAAGTGAATGAAGTAGCCTCTTTCAAATCCCTCCCGTTGATGGTGATTGGCGCTGGATGTTGCTGCTGTTGTTGTTGTTGGTTGGTTATTTTCATAAGCTCCGTCTTGTCTATGTTCACCTGGAGTCCTGTCTTTGCTGCTTCTTCGACCAGTTTGTCGGTTTTCGCTTGTAAGTCTTCGATTGTGTGTGACATCAAACATAAGTCATCCGTGAAATCCAGGTCTTCTAGGTTCTTCACGTCGGTGATCCAGGATATCCCTGTCTTCTCGTTTCCCACTATCTGACGCAGTAATAATAATAATATAAACCCCTAAAGAAGTTTACAGCTTTGATAAGAAGTTACGAAAGATACCTCTTTACTGATTTATTTGTTCTGAATTCACATCATATAATGTATATGAGATTTCTCAAACCAGTCATCTGTCCCAAACACTCACACACAGGTATAATAGTGTAGGTTGTTTTTCTAATCTTTTTTTCTAATTTGACAAGATATTTTTAAAATCTCCTCAAAAGTAACTCAACAGATAACAGAATGACTTATAATGTTGTGCGTAGCACTTTACACTCTCTGACTAGTGTTTTTTTTTCATTCCCGTCCATTCTAAGTGGAACAAAGGAATTCGAACTTTCACCTTTGAACTTTCATTAGTGTTGGTTTGTTGTTAGTGAGATGAGATTGGTAGCCTCATATCCAATCTTTCGCCTTCATCACCGGGATTACTACTACTACTAGTGAGGCGATGTTGAAGAGTGCATCGGCCTGGAATTGTAACTATTTGTTGAATTAATTTATCTTGTATGTGTAAGCATTAAGTCACGGGACTATGAAAATAATCTGAATAACAAAATGATCAGCATTAGTTTATTAAAATTAAAACCTTCAAAGTAAGAGACTACTACTACTACTATTAGTGCTGCTAATGAAGAGAGCATTAAAGGTAAATGACCTGAAAGGTGAATAAAAATGAGTGATAACCTCATTATTTATTAACTTTTAATGTACTATTTATTCCTCGTCTTTAAAACAAAAATAAATAATTAAATAAAACCAGCCATCAATTAAACTGCTTATATGTTCCTTAAATACACCAACGAATAGCTGAATTGACGACTCCAATTCAAAGCAGCAACGTTGACAAGAAACTTCCCTCCTTCGTTATATAACTGCAAACGTCTTTTTAAAAAATGCGAATTTTCAGGTGGTCGTGTACAGCGATTTTATTAATGTCAAGTTAAATCATAAAAGGACATTGGTGAGAGAACTACTGAAGACCATAGAGAATTGGATAGTAGTGTTTCGTCCAAGTTTGGGATTCTTCATCAGGAATTCATGACTTGTGGAGTCTGCCAGTTCTTCTGTGGAGATAAGTACTCATAGAAGATACTGGTTGATGGTGATGATTGATGGAATTATTGATATAAGTATGAAACTTGGGCACAGTGGTGGAAGAGTAGAACTCCATTAAAGATAAGATTTTATTTTGATAAATCACAGTGTTTGTTATACAGTAATATTAACTGATGACAACGTTTCGAGCACAAATTATTGCTACTCATAATCATATCGAGTCACTCACACAACGTTTTGCACACTAGTGTTTATAAAAAGCCAACGCATTATGCTAATAGATACTTAGACTTTAATTCATCTCATCCGTCGTTGTCTGTAAAGGCAGGTTTAGTTAAGTGTCTAACAAACCGAGCAATAGCACTAACTAGCACAAAAAAGACCTAAATGATGATATAAAACAGACAGAAGAGGCGTTGGTGTTGAATAACTATCCTATGAAACTCATTAAGAATATCGATAAACGTCATTAACAAAATAAAAATAATGGTGAAACTAATAATGATAACATAAATAGGAGAGAATATAAGGCATCTATAGTTTCACCATATAAGGAAGGGACATCTGAGACTCAACGTAGTAGGATTTTCAATAAAGCAAGAATTAGGGTGGCATTCAAACCTACAAACTCACTCATGTAGGAGAAGCTCTGTACATTGAAGGACCCTGTTGACTCAATTAGACAAAATAATATAACTAACAAAATACCTTGCAATCAGTGTGAGTTAAGTCAACTGCATAGTTCAAACTAGTAGGCCGGGGGTAGTCAGATTGTCGAAACATAAGCATTTAGCTAAGGTAAGAACGGATGACGTCGAGAAGATAAGTAGTTTAGAAAAAAGCTCCTCAATCGCACTGCATACATTAACACATAACCATAAAATAGGTTAGGAGGGACAGAGTCAAAATTCTAAAAAAGTAATATAAGTATGTGGAGATAGGGAGAGACTGATTACTGAATCCTGGTTCTTCGAGTCTACACCCAGCACATGCACAATAGAAATGACTCAACGTAAATATCAGAGATATGTATGGAAGATATTATTACCAGCAGGCAGTTCAGAGGAGGATAATAAATAATCTTAAAATTCTATTTCAATTCACGTACATTATAACATTCTAACAAGTTATTTATTTATTTTACCATAAAAAACATTTTATTTCCCATCTGATTGTATTTGATCGATAACACTAATATTATTTCCGAATGTACATTACCCTATATTGATTTTTAGTCAAATGTCTAATCATCAATTTTAACTCATGTATATAAACGAAGCAAGAAAGTTGTGTGAGTGAGTGCCTTGATATGATTATGAGCAATAGTTTGTGCTCGAAACGTAGTCATCAGTTAATATTACTGTATATCAAACACTGTGAGTCTTTATCAAAACAAAATCTTTTCTTTGATGATTGATGGAAGTTAGAATTCATGGGCTGTTGGACTCCACCCTAAACGGTGAATGGTCAAAGTGGTTACTTCATAGTCCGGAGGTGGTTGGTCCAATCCCCAGCTTACCACTGAAGAGTTTAAAAGTAGGACGAAAAGTATTCCATAGTTTTCAGTGATTCTATAACTAATATCAGGTTGTAATCAAACCTAAAATACAAACTTATTTAACCGTGGAGAATAATATTTAGTTGGAAGATTGACTTCAAGTGGTATGAATTGCTGGAAAGCACGCTATAACTGAAAAAATTGTTTCTCACTCCATAGTACCCGACAGCTAACTTGGTTTTACAGTCTTAAGAAGAACTTTATGAACCTGCTTCATTAGGGGTTTGAATTTCGTGGTTTTTCTGTTAGTTTTTTCTTGACTACATTAACAGTGATAAAAATCGTCTACTCCGTTACTCACCTCCTCATAGTTGCAGATGCTTCTCAATGATGTATGCGAGAAAACCGAGAACCTCATAGGATGACTAAAGCCATCAAGCTTCAAGTTAAAGTACAGTCCGCTATACATTTGGTCCACTGATTTAAGTGAGTACTTGAGAGTGGACAAGTGTGCTTAGTACCATCTACCAAAAAGTCCTCAGATTAATCTTGAAAAACGGAGCACATAAGTGACTTTGAGACACTTCGTACCGCCCGTCTTTAAGTATCTCACGTTAATTGCCCCTGCCAGGTCTCAGGTTATGTCATAAAGCATCAAAAATCTAACAAAAAAATTAATCGGATAAACCAAGGAACTGCCAAATCTCATTCTTACTTACATTTGTCTAACTTGTCGTAGATTGCCAGATTCAAATCTTGATTCAAATATTAAAGATGGTGGTGACCATTGATCCGTATCCTGTAAATCTTTAACTAACTGGCAAAGATTTCCTGAGGGCGATGATGTTGTGTCTGTTGATTTCGACAGACATGGACTACATTCAGAATCGTAGATTACTCGTATCCCATTGAAGATGGTTTGTTTACTCCGTAGCTGATTTATCTCTTCTGTGTGATCAGGTATGAAAGGTTTAACTGAAGACGTATAAATAAGACAGAAGTTTAAAAAAGTAGTTTAAACTTTTATTTTAAAAGTATTTTGAAACGATTAAAATATATCTTGACCAATAATTTAAATAACTTTTTAGAAGATAAGTTCTTATTTGGGTCATTGCAAAAGTTCCCTGGTGTTTATCTCTTCCAATCCTCACCTTGAATATTACCGACTGATTGAAAGAAAACCTATCTTGTCAAACGACCAAAGAAGGAAGACTTAATTGGTGGATGGTGACTGGCAGTGGAATCCAGGATGCGCATTTCGTCCTCTTTGGGACTCGTCCTCCAGCTGGATGTACCTGCATTCCGCAGTGAGTGATGATGTTCCCCGCACCGCGGCTCGAACCCAGTGCCCATAGTTTCAAACGCCAAATCGTTAGCCACTAAACCACTTGGGCCACGAGAGCCACCTCTTGTGCAACGTTTCATATTAATTATTTAATTTAATTTTAGATTTCCCCGTCGATTGGTTTGACCGAAGTGCCCAGACATCGTCGAAGCATCTGCATAAGAAGCCGACATGTCAACCTGAGACCGAACACTTCGGTTCAATCAATCGACGGGAAAATCTAAAATTCAATTAAATAAGGAAGACTTATGCTTCTAAAAGAACTGGCTTAGAATAGTGCCCTTCTCTACGTCAAGCAAAATATTAAGTTGAGTCATCCAAGAGAGAATTAAGGATGCACTGCATGCAGAACTCCTCCAGGCCGGAAAAAGCTGGATTCAGGAACAGCAAATCATCTGCTGATCAAACTGAAAATCTATGTACCATCATCACAGAACAAAGCACGGAATGGCTGTCAGATATCCACCTCAACTTCATCAAATTCGAAGAGTCATTCTACAGAATTGATGGAGAAATAATTTGGAAACTATTTCAACAATGCGGCGTGCAGTGCCCAAGTCTTCATCAACCTCATTCAAAAGCCATCTATATGACAGTGGCACTTGTCAGGTGATCCACGGCAGAAAACTGAGCGAGGCATTCGAAATGAATACAAGAGTAAGACAAGGCTGCCTGCCTATTATCTCTGATGACATTGCTAATTGTGGTGGACTAGATTATGCGTCAGGCTGTGGGGAGCGAGAAGAAAGAAATACGTTGGGCAAAGAAAGGGACTGTTGAGGATCTGGATTTTGCCGATGATATATGCATAATGTCACAGAAACTCGAAGAACTACATGTGGAAACCGGCAAACTGATGGATGAAGCAGGCGGTGAAGACATAACATCAAGTTAACATAGACCAAAAAGGCCGTGACGAAGGTAATCAACCAACAACCACCAACCATCACTATCAACGGAATATATTTGAAAGCGATCACTTCACTTATTTTGGGAGCATCATTTCAACTGCAGGCAGTTGGCACGAAAATGCAAGATAGATATCCACCAAGTATTGGTTTTGTAGGGATTTTTGTTTGATTGTATGGAGGATTTCATCATGAGCTGACATCAGCTAGAGAACCACTAGAAAATCAGCTGGGAGTACTGGACAGCTGTTTCGTCCTCGTTTGGAACTCTTCAACGGTACGCGGTCACCGGGGTCCGAACCCAGGACCTTCTGGTTATAAAGCGAGTTCGTAGACCATTGGGGCACTGGAACCCGATCCAATGGTTCTTGAATTCTAGCTTCTGCCAATTCACGACATAGCGCGACCATTTCGCAATGTCTTCTTCGATGAATTACTGCCTCATCTTCAACTTGCTGTACCCTACTGGTCACGGCAGAAGTTAGAATTCATGGGCCATTGGATCGGGTCTGAGTGGCTTAATAGTCTACGAGCCTGCCTTATAACCAGAAGGTCCTGGGTTCGAACCCCGGTGGGTGCCTACTAATGAAGAGTCCCAAACTGGGACGAAACAGCTGTCAGTATTCCCAGGTTTTCTAGTGGTTCTCTAGCTGATGTCAGCTCATGATGAAATTCTCCAAGATATCCATTACTCTGAAATCAGTTTGGAAATCTTCTACACTCAACATGAACAAAAAATTCGGATTTTCAATACCAATGTGAAGTTAGGCATTTATAAACTTGGTGTGAGCATCATGAAAACATCTCCAACAGGTTAGTTCACATTTTTACCCACAGATGCTCCCTTCGCTAACTGCATATAGACGATCGGATGGTAGGTCAGAAAGAATTAGCGACAAAAGAATCTTGGGATGAAACAACCAAGGTTCTACAGCGCTAAAAATATGCCAGCCAAATAGAAGCGATCTAAACACTTGATGGACGTTTCGCTCGTTTCTTTCGGGAGGAGGGTTTCATCGGTGATGTGTACTCCGTTAGACGTAGTTCAGAAAGCTGTAGCAATCAATATTGGTTGTTGTGAGTGGTATCCAACTACTGATAATAATTAGCCAGTAGTATATAGCCACTATTCAATAAAATCGCATACTAGGATCTGAATAATTCCGATTTTGAAAGAAAGTGTGATGAAAATTCACCTCCTTGAACTGTGCAATTATCAAGTAACGAATTCATTTACAACTTTCGGATCTTATCTTATAGACTACCTTCTGGTCCACGTCAAATTGTAACAACAGCAGACAAGAGCCAGGCAAGAGATCGTTTATTGAGAAAATCAACAGATATTTATAGATTTTTATGCACATTATTATTAGCGTTATTTTAGCAGAGAAGCGAAGTCTCCTGATTGGTTGTTTTCTTGCTCAAGGTCATGTAGTACTGCTTTAGACCGTTGCTTACAAAGTTATCCCTATATCTGCGAATCATATTTGCACACGCTAAGTCTGCTGTGATTGGTTGTTGAATTCCTCAAGGTTAGGGTTTGTTCTTGTTTTTTCTCATGACCAAGATATGGGACGTAAAGATTGATGTAAATTGCTGTCCACAGTTTTGTCTTGCAGACAGCTCTCACCACAAAATAAGTAAATTTCTGAGGTCGGAGGATAACAGTATGCATACAATAGTATCATATGATCGTATTGTCTTTACTCAACAAACCTTATCCAAATATAGAAAAATACTCATAAATTGCCAATATGAAATACAAAGAAACGTGATAATAAACATACTACTCTTATTACTCCTACTACTATTACCACTCGCATCCTTGTAATTGTCCGCGCCGACTTCTTCTGCATGTAAATCATTCAAAATTTGACATACAGGTCCATAACCTTGAGGCCAAAATGGTCCATGTCTGTCGCGAATCACTGCACTCCAGTCAACAAATGTCGGAAGGGTGTAAGCAGAAACATTTTCATTTTGACTACCATTATTGTCTTGAACACTAACGACGGAAACCTTCTCCGATTCTACTAGTTCTGGTTGACAAATCACTTCATCTTTTTGAGTACCGCTCATACTGGCATCTTCTACAAATGAATTACTTATCACGATGTGATCCAATGGTTTAGCGTCTTTCTGATTAATCAATCGAAATTGTGTCCCATCAGGGAGTTTATGTTCACACTGGGTTGAAGCCATCAGGTAGGCAGCTCTAGTTGCACTGAAATAAAAAAGCTGAAAAAAAAGTGGAAAGTCAGATGCGAAAATAAAAAACGCAAAAAGTAATTGTTATCGCAAATGAATAGAATGTCTATCAGCCATACAGGTGGTCCAAAGTTGAATTCCTCATCTAAACACTCCTATGCCTCTTCTTGACGGTAGTACGCCTGGAAAGGAGGGCAAGTTTGGCCGTGTTACTAGCAATCCCACCTACTTTTGTGAGTAGCCCACCATATCGACCAAATGTAACGCAACACTCAGTTGTTACGCTCATTTTCAACAAATTCAAACAATAATGGTGCCTAGGATTATGCCGTATAAACTGTTTTAACTTATGCAGAGTGTACTTACGGTCAATATTCCATTATCTTCCCTTGTATATAATATCTTGTGTTAGTCAAAAATTTTAAACATGTCTACTCCATGTGTGCATTATTATCATATTGATGATGCCTGTCAACTGGAGTCCCTCATGTGCATAAAGTGAGAATATATTATTATAAGACGCATTTTATTGTTTTATGAGGGGATTGACTTCAAGCTTTATTTATTTTCCCAAGTATCTGTAATCCATCCAACGCATACTTGGGTTTTTTTTGTTAATGCGAGATCAACATCTCTTTATTTCTTGATGTGTTCCATTGAGTTACTAGTTATCAGATTTTTGCCACAAACTAAAGATAAAATGACAGCAACCATGTTATTTAACCGTAAATCATGTAATTTAAATATGTAACTTAAATAAGACTTATCCATGCCTTTACAACTTGTGTGTCCTACATTTGTAGGAATAAATATGTACCTTATTATATTATCATTACTAACTATACTTACTGATCGTATATGTAATTTATCATATTGATGATGCCTGTAAACTGGCGTCCCTCATGTACAAAATGACAATATATTATTATTATTATTATAGTAAAAAATAATAACACAGCTACTGAAATAAGTATAAAACTTGGGCACCGTAGTGGTAGAGTATAACTCCATTATGGAGAAAATTTTATTTTGATAAAGTCTCACATAGTGCTGTTATACAGTAATTTTTACTGATGACCACGTTTCAAGCAGAATTTATTACTACTGCTCATAATCATATCAAGTCACTTACTCACACATAACTTTCTTGCTTCATTTATATACATGAGTGAAATTCATTAGACATTTGGATAAAATCAATATAAGATAAAGTACATTCAGAAATAATAATATTAGTGTTATTGATTAATTACAATCAGATGGGAAATATGGATAGTGTTTTCATAGTCATAATAAGTAACTTGTTAGAATGTTGTAATGTGCTTGAATTGAAATAGAATTTTGAGATTATTTATTATCCTCCTCTGATTTGACTGACTGGTGGTAATAATATCTTCCATACATATCTCTGGTATTTGCGTTGAGTCGCTTCTATTGCATGTGTTGGGTGTAGATTCGATGAACTAGGATTCAGTAATCAACCACCTCTCTCTCTCCACCTACCTATATTACTTTTTAGAATCTTGACTCTGTCCCACCCACCCTATTGTGTGATTGTGTGTTAATACATGCAGTGCAATGTAGTGCTGAGCTTTCTTCTAAATTAATTATCTTCATGGGATCAATCATTCTAACATCAGCTAAATTCTTATGTTGTGACAATCTGACTACTCTCAATCTACTAGTTTGACTGACCCATGTAGTTCACCCCACTCACAGTGGTTGCAAGGTATTTTGAAAATTATATTATTTTGTTCGATTGCGTCCACTGCGTATTTTTGGCTTACAGAATTTGTCTCTCAGTGAGTGAGTTTGTAGGTTTGAATGCGCCTTAATTCATATGTAGGATTCTCAATAAAGCAGGAATTAGGGCAGTATTCAAACCTGAAAAATATTGGAATCATATAAATGAAGTTGGAAAGTTGTATAAGTAGTGCCTGGAACAATAATAATTTGTGCTCGAAACGTTGTCGTGAGTAAATATTACTGTACAACAAACACTGTGTGAGACTTTATCAGAATAAAAATTTTATCCACAGTGAAACTGCTTACTTAGCTTTACAACAAAGTTGAGCACCCCGGTAACTAATTCAGATAAGTGTATTGATCAAAAGGTAAACATCTAAACCATCTTACCTTGAACGGTCAGTGTACATTATTCACTTTTATGTGTCATCGGTCCTGGCTAGAACAACTTGATTAGAAAGCCATCGTTTCAACAACAGACGGTGGCACAGTTGAGGATGTCAAAACCAGTGGGTGCAAACTGCCGATGATTCCCAGACTAGGATGAAACAGCTGTCCATTACTCCAGTGCTGGTTTTCAATGGTTCTCTAACTAATATCAGTCCGTGATCAACTCGTGAAAAACAAAATCTAATATAAAAAACCATACGGTCTGACAGTATTTTGTCACCTGGCTAAATAACTATTGTAAACCCCATGAATTTAATATCTAGGACTGGACGGTTGCTTTAGTTATCCCCTGACATCCAAATCATATATATTTATCAACTGGTAAGAAGAGGGTAACTAAGGTACTGATGCCCCTTTGGAGATTTAAACACAATATTGCGTGTATGCCTTGCTGACCAGTCTCAAGCCATGGACAAAACCTGCGTTCATGCCTTCCTGTTGGTTCCCTCTAATTACATAACATCAGTTCACATTCGTCCAATATTCCCAGGGAAAAACACCATTTATACACCTAATAAAGTTCTAAAAAAGCGCGCAAAATGCACCACATTTTGATGGCAGTTTTCGTTTCTTTTTTCTCTGACTTCAAAGCATTTATTATAATGAATTCACTCATTCAAAAGTGCATACCTAAAATTATAAATTCACCATTCAACATTGACAATACTAGTTTAATTATCACTGAATCATTTAACAGTTAATCAATCAATACATAATTCTGAATATTTTTATTAACTATTTGCCTGATTAAAACAAAACGTTATACGAAAAGTGTCTGAAATAATGAAGAATATTAATCAATTGTCCATTGTTCAATTATTTTTTGTACATATAAACAAAGATTTATTCATTAAACACCAAGGTAACAATTTTGTTGTTGTAAAATTTCAGCGAAATTGAAATGAGTAATTCCAACGTTTCCTGAGTTCAGTAAACTGGTCCGAACTTCATCAGGGGAATTAGTAGAAATTAAAGTAACATTGTATTTACCAATTTGAATGTACGTGTGTACACAAGTACATAGGGAGGGCTCATCGATCTCTGCAAGTAAGAGCTGGCTTCAGAGCATATTCTTAAATGGCTCCAGAAGGAAATAAAATCCCCAGAACTCATTAATGGTGAGAACAGGCGACGACCTAGCTCCTCTATTGCCAAACATATTACAGTGGAGATAAAACATAAAATTGATGTTTACAAGTCTTTTAAACGTATCTATAATATTAAAACAACTAGTCCCTTTGATAAATTTGAACAAGCCATTTAGAAGACAAATTTCGCGAGATGATATCATTTCGTAGTTTCTTTACAACCACTTTACAACTAACATGGTTAACAATAATAAAATAAAGGTCATGACAATTACTCAGTTAAATAAAAAACAAAAGTACATACTAATGACCAATCATATTTACATAGGTCAAGTAGTCCATGGTAGGCGAAGATTGAAGTCTATTGTTTTTTGTACACACAGTTTAGGCTGTATATGATTAATCCCCCATCACCTACAATAACCTTGAATTAGAGTTATGTGAAATAATTGTGAAACAGTCATTAATATTGATTTTATGACCTGAAATTAATAAGTGCTTTGTAATGGATGATGCTGGATTTATATTCAGATTAATCGCGTTGGGATTTTCTATATGATTTAGTAGCCATTTTGGAACATGTTCTTTTCGACGACATTGGAACATTCTATTGGTTCTACCTATATAAGTGTCACTGCAACTGCAGGTGAACTTGTAGATGCAGTTTGAAGTAGAGTCCACAGAATTTCGTCCTTTAATCGTAGGTACAGGGATCGAAAATGTTCGGCATGTGAGAAAAAGAGATGTGGCGGCGTAGAATGTGCGTTTGATGGCTGACCGAAGTCTTTGAGCTAGCTGTCAACTGCATAATCTGGTCACCCTTGAATGGTAGGTTAATAAAGATAGATAGCTTTCTTTGGTACAGAAGCTGTCTTTTGAAGATGCGATCTCTCCTTACTGTGACAAGTGATAAAGTTTTCTGGATAACCATTAGCTAATAAAACTGAATGTATGTGTCGAAACTTATCCATCACTGTGTCACTCGTGCATATTTTTCGGGCCCTTGAGAACAAACATTTCACTAGGGAACGTTTATACTGGATAGGAACAAAACTGGTAAAATGAAGATTTTGTCCACTCCATGTCTGTTTACGAAAAATAGATCGTTGAATCGTTCCATCATCTCTCCTGGTCATTGTAATATCTAGGAAACCGATTTTGTTATTCGATTCGAGTTCGGAAGTCACTCGGATATTTGGATGAATATGATTAAATAGGGTAAAAAAGTTTTCAATAGATTTACTATTATTACCAATAATGACAGTATCACCTACATGACGTTTATACAGCATAAATTCTCCAAGCATACCCTGCATTTGTTTTATTTAACTAAGTAACCGCCATGAACTTTATTTTATTATTGTTAACCATGTTAGTTGTAAAGTGGTTGTAAAGAAACTACGAAATGATATCATCTCGCGAAATTTGTCTTCTAAATGGCTTGTTCAAATTTATCAAAGGGACTAGTTGTTTTAATATTATAGATACGTTTAAAAGACTTGTAAACATCAATTTTATGTTTTATCTCCACTGTAATATGTTTGGCAATAGAGGAGCTAGGTCGTCGCCTGTTCTCACCATTAATGAGTTCTGGGGATTTTATTTCCTTCTGGAGCCATTTAAGAATATGCTCTGAAGCCAGCTCTTACTTGCAGAGATCGATGAGCCCTCCCTATGTACTTGTGTACACACGTACATTCAAATTGGTAAATACAATGTTACTTTAATTTCTACTAATTCCCCTGA